TCCAGAATACACTGGAGCAAATGGCCAAAATAAACGGCACGCTTCGCACAATTTACTCCGAGGGTGAATACTTCGCCGAGCAATCACTCGCTAGTGGATTCAAATCTCAAGTTGAATTCGAGGATCTCTCCTCTGCTCGCGATATCGATGCTGCTTTGTCAGAAGCTAGCCACTCTCTGCGTAGTCGGCCAATTGACATCGAAGTAGGAGAATCAATGAAAGTCCGCCTCTTCAAACTTTCCGAGACCAGGCATGCTCTCGTGTTCTCCATCCACCACATCAACCTTGACAATGGGAGCACCAAGACGTTCTTGGACCACTTCACTACTCTCTATGATTGCCTTGCGAGAAAAGAAGAAGTGTCGAAGGTTCCTACTCAACGTATCTCATACTCTGACTTCGCGGTCTGGCATAATGAGTTTTTAGGTTCGGAAAAAGTTCAAGATGATCTATTGTGGTGGCAGAGATCACTTTCCGGGTTGCCAGAGGCTACTGCCCTGCTCCCCTTTGCTTCCAGAGCAAGACCCGAGGTCAGAAGCTCGAACAGATCCACGATAGCAGCAGCCGTTTCAACTACTGTTCTGAAAAGAATAAAACGAATCGCTGCTGCTTCTGCGGCTACTCCATTCCATTTCCTCATTGCTGCGTTCCGTGCGTTCATATTCCGTTACACCGAGGAGGAAGATCTGACGTTTCTCATGGTTGATGGAACCCGACCTCATGCCGAAGTCAGTGATATGATGGGCTTTTTCGTCAACCTGATTCCTCTTCGTCTCCGGATTGATGCCGACAGTGCCTTGGATTCGGTTCTAAGCCATGTTTCTGAGGCATCAAATGAGAGCTTAGCGCACAACTCGTCGCCCTTTGAGACGATCCTAGATTCTCTGAAAATTAACCGGAGTGCGTCGTACTTCCCCATCAGCCAAATCATCGTCAACTATCAAGTATATGGCAAGCCGCCCGTCGTTTCGACTTGCGACTTTGATATTACAGATATCAGTTTCCACGATATCCCCACACCTGCCGATTTTGCTATCGAGGCGACCGAGGATCCTGCTCTTGGCCTTGAATTAAAGCTTCAGTACGATCCTGAGCTATACGATGACAACGAGATGGAAAGATTTCTAGAGAATTTCACCGTTTTCCTCTCCAGTTCGGCCAAAGACCACAGACAGCCTATTTCGGAGATCTCCATGTGTGGAAAAAAGGAGCTAGATCATCTAAGGGAGAGTTGCTGGGGCATGAAAGTCACTCCAAATCCTTGGGAAACCCGATCGATTGTGAGCAAAATCCTCGAAATTGCCTCCTTATACCCCAACTCGACGGCTATTGAGACGTCCGACGGAGAGATCATAACGTATCACGATGTTGTGGCCAAAGCGAAAAGACTGGCCCTTGAACTTGAAGCATCCGGTTGTTCCAGTGGAACTACCATTGGAGTGTTGTTCAAGCCAAGTATCGACATGGTTGTTGCTCTTGTGGGAGCTGCATTTGCTGGATGCGGTTACCTACCACTTGATCCAAACTTTGCTCCAGATCGATTAAAGCACATGATTAGTGACACAAACGTGTCTTTCATTATTTTGGATCCCGAGTTCAGTCATTTGGCCGATACCTTGGCGCCAGATCTGGTTCAAATCCATCTCAGGGATAGCGAGAAAAGCCAGCCGGGATACTGGCAGCAGAGGGAAGCTTTTCCAAATGATCCTTTTTACGTCATTTACACCTCGGTCAGTGTTCTATCTCATCTCCCAAGTGCCACCATCATTAAAGACGCCTAGTGTTCGGAATACGGTCACAACTAACTCGAGGGTATGACAGGGAAGCACTGGAAAGCCAAAGGGTGTCGTATTGACTCAGTCAAACGTACAGGCCATGCTGAGTGGACATAATGAGACACACCAATTAGGTCCCAGCGACAGACTTCTTTTTCTCACAGCCTATACATGGGATGTCTCCGTGTCCCAAATATGGGGTTCGCTCACCTCTGGTGCCACCATGCTTTTGGCAAAGGAGGATCTTCGCCGGTATCCGGAACGCCTAGCAAGCTTTCTTGCAACATCAGGCGTGACAATCACATACACAACTCCTACGCAATATGCTGCCATGCTTCTCCATGGCAAACAGTCTCTCAGCAGTTGTAAAAATTATCGAACTGCCATATTTGCGGGCGAGGCGCTCCCCGCCAGGCTGGTTCGGGAGGTTTATGACTTGGGATGCAAGGGTCTGAAAATCTACAACGAGTTCGGGCCGACAGAAGCTACAGTGCAAACTACTTTCTACCTATGCCCGGATCCATCCACAGATGATGCCATTCCTATCGGTTACGGTTTACCAAACTGTTCTCATTATGTGGTCGATCCCAACCTACGTCCAGTCCCGGCCACAGTCCTGGGTGAACTTTGCGAGGGTGGACCTCAGATCAGCTCAGGATACATTAATCGGCCAGATGCAACATCCCATGCTTTTGTCACAAACAACCTAGCTTCGGATGAGTTCCTTCGGCTCGGCTGGACGAGGCTGTACAGAACTGGCGATCGAGCAAGATTTCTTCAGGATGGACAATTGGAATACAGGGGCCGGATTTCAGGCGATCATCAAATCAAGCTTCGAGGTTACAGAATCGAGCTCGGCGAAATTGAAAACTCGATAATGGAATCCCTTCAAGACTCCAACCTCGGAGTTGTTGCCGATGCTGTTGTTGTGCCCCGTAGGGTGGCGTTGCCGACTGAAGACCCGGAGCTCGTTGATGACCGCCAGTTGATAGCCTTCCTAGCAACTGCACGCTGTGTCCCTAACCGCGACGAGATAGTGAACGCGATTCACTCCTTTTTGGTGGCCAAGCTTAATTCGTACATGCTTCCCAATGGCTACCACGTCACAGACGCGTTGCCTACACTGCCCAGTGGGAAGAGAGACCGGCGGGTGCTGACGACAATGGATCTGGATCTGGTATTTCCTACGAGCAACGCAAACGCTACTCAATCCAATTCAATCGAAGACAATAAAGGTGACAAGCTTCTGGATGACGTCATTGATATCTTTAGAAGGGTCCTGAAGCTGAAGGCCGAGCAGACAGTCGGCCGGTCCTCTAGTTTCTTCGAGTTAGGTGGTCACAGTATGTTGGTCTTACGGCTTGTTTCTCAGCTCAAACGAGGGTTTAACATAAGCCTTGATGTCAGGGAAGTGTTTTCCGACTTGACGCCTTATGGGATCGCTCGGGTTGTCGCTGACAAGGCGGGACTCCAAACGCCATCTGCCCCAGTGTTGACTGAAGCGTCGGGGATTGATTGGCAGAAAGAAGCATTGCTTCCAGATGACCCGACGTATCATCCTTCTCCAGCAGACAGAGTGGTAACTCAGAGCGACAACATTCTTCTAACTGGGGCTGAGTCGGTGGTTGGCTGCCACCTTCTCGTTCGCCTGCTAAACTACCACCCCGACGCGCGCATCACGATCTTGGGAATTGAGTCTCCGCTTTCGCTTCAATTGATTGAACAAACAATCCAAAATGATAAGCTGGTTCTTTTTGATGCCAAATCTCTACATCACCGAGTTGATATATCGCCAGGCTGTCTAGCCGAGCCAAACCTCGGCCTAGGCGAGGAGGAACTCCAAACGCTCAGTCACTCTACTACCAAAATATATCACTTTGGCTCCCAGATATCGCTCGTCAAGTCTTTCAACGACTTGAAGCAAGCCAACATCCTAGCCACGCGAGACCTCATTCGCTTGGCAGCGATGAACCCAACTTGTTCCATCCACTACCTGTCATCATGGAGCGTTGCTCATCTGCAACGATGGAAAACGACAAAATACTTGGACCCGGGTTCATCCGGCGAAATTTTCAAAGATGAACGAGTGCCGGATCATTTCTTCCCAACGGGTAGTGACTTTGCATACTTTAAAACGCGCTGGGCCGCCGAGATGCTATTAAGCCAAGCATCAGAAAGGGGCATCCCTACAAATGTCTACCGTACCTCCGGTCTTGACCATGAGTCCACAAACAGCGAAGGAAACTTCTTCTTGAAATTGGTACAAAGCATGGTTGATACAAGAGCCATAGCAGACTTCGGTCGTGGCGAAGGCATCTCTATTGACTTTGTCACCCCTGACTACGTTGCGGCCAGTGTGTTGCATTTGGCCGAGTTTGCGACAACAGAGAAGGGGCCAAGCCAAGTTTTCCACATTCGCAATTCTTCCGCAGTATCATTGCGCCAACTTCCTGATGTGCTTAGACAATACAACTCAAACATCGGGGAGTTCAAGTTTGTGTCGATAGATAAGTGGCTGGAGCTAGCATCCGAGGGCGACGAATTAAACAGCCGCGTGACACAGGCATACCTTGATCTTGGTCACGAGATGTTCTCTTTGGATGATTCCAAGACAAGAAAGCTGCTGGAAACTTCACCAGAGCTTCGCGGCATCCAGACTGCTCCTCTACCATGCATACTGGTGGATGTAGTGACTTCAGACTGAACAATATTTTCATCTATTTAGCAAATATGATATAAGTGAATAGAGTTACTGAGCCAGATCAACAATTGGTCGGAAGTTTCAGTCTTAAGCACAATCACAACTATGAATCGGGGGCCAACTGCCAAGGAGAATGGAATAAAGTTTATGCCACACTCTATTTTGGACAATTACTAGACAGAGAAAATATCAGAGCTCGTTATTATTGTAACTAGCTTCATAAGCTTTAATTCCCCCGTTTCTTCACATTTTTAAATCGCTCCGGTGGCCTCATCGGTCCGCATAACCAAGCTCTACTTCAATCAGTCCAAGTTTGCAACCGTCGCCGACACAAGTCCTCCATCGTTTGTCGTAAGCTCAAGCCGAAGTACGCGACAAAGAGCATATACACGCCTCGGCAAGCATGGAGATCATCGCACTCTTCATTCATTTCAAACTCAGATCAACAGAAGATGATATAGACGAACACATTGTCGACGGCGAAGACGCGATCCTTGGCTTCATATCTTACTAATTTCAGGATTCTATCTCAATTCGTCATACGCGTCGCGCCAGCGGTAGTCAGCAATAGGACCGTCGATACTGAAAGTGAGGGAACGCTCTTGCGTGCATTCATCATCGACCGGCTCCTCGCCCCGGCGGCGGCAATGGAGGTTCAAAATAATGCCCCCGCGTAGATCCGCCCTCCTGCAATTGTTCATGTCAGAGCGCTATCCATACCTGTACAAGAAGATCGAATCACATACTTGTCACCAACATTGTGGTAAATCATGAGGAGGATCTCGGGACTTTCGTCGCGGGGCAAGAGGGCAAACGAATACTGGGAATCACTGCAACGGCTAGAGGAGAATTCGGGCCAGGGGAGACTCTCTGCTGAACAATCGATGTTGTTTCTTTTGTCTCCACTCAGCTTGAAAGAGAGGTTTTGAATACTGAAGCCGACAGGGATCCCGACTTTATGAAGTTTGAGGTCGGAAACAGTGACCTTTCCTTGTCCTCCATAGTCGGGCCGAGCAGTTACCAAAGACGTTAGAAATGGAATAAAGGCGGCGGAGAAGCGCATTTTTGCATGGATCGTTTTTTTTTTCTGTGTCAGTTCGTCTGGTGTCTGCGCGGGGTCAAGGTGCTGAACCGCCGTGGGGAGCCACCAGGTATTAATACGGCCTACTTATAACAGGTGCCACTTCCGTGTTCAATTTTGACGGGGGTGTCAGATTGTACCAGAGGATTGGGTACTTTGGTAGAAGCGAAATTTCATTCCCCTTCCGTAATAGTCATGAGTATGCGGGGACCCAAAACGGCCAGTTTTTCGAGCGTAATACGGTAGCCGGGACAAGCCTTCTTATACTTAAAACAGCATGTCTTATGCAACGCCCAGTGCACATCACTCCAAGCTCTGGGAAACCGAGGTAGGGATGCCTAGTCTTGGCAGTCTATTCCCCGCCAGGCAACAGGCTGCGCGCCGGTTAGTCCATCGTCGTCTGTACGGGAAGCTGAATTCTCCTACTCTGCCGATTGATGTGTCTTCATAGTATCAATATTACGAGCAACTGCATATTGCACTACTGAATGGACAAGGAAGGCCCTGGATGGAGAGGAACAGCGCAGACTCGTCTCGTATCCATCTCAGACGATGTTTACAGCTCAGGGCTGATCACTCCACTATTTCCCCGGTGGGATCCCCTTTTCCTGCGGACTAGAACCAATGAAGATGGAGCTTTCAATCCTTCCTCCCATCCATCGCGGTCAGATCGGCCGCTGTTGGCCACCGCGGAACTTGAGACAAAAAGGGGTCGCGAGGCACTAACGAGTCAGTGAGTCTAAGCCTCTTTTGCTTTCACTGCGATAAAAAATTATGCATATACGAACGAAAGAGCAATAAATATATATAGATAGATATGGATTCATAAAATTTAACTTCTGATTTTTCCCTTTTCTAAGATTCTCTGGATTTCGTCTTGATAAAACTGAACATAGATCAAATTGTTTGCTGGGAGGGAAAACTTTCACCAGCGACCGGTCTTTTGCCGTTAATTAAGGACGTCAACAAATCAAGCACTGTCCGGTCAGCGTTCACGACTATAATGAACTAATTACATAGAAAACTCATAATTTGAGAAAAGTGATCCTATTTCAAAGATATCGTGACAGCATATCCAACCAGCATGTAAAGTAGAACATCTTGGATGGAACTGTGATGAGGATGTTATAGGGTAGCATCACGTGTCGTAAAACAACAAACCCCGTAATAATAATTCCGTTCCGTTCCAGGCAGCAGCCGCAGCACCGCGCCAAGTTGATCCGAAAATGCTAATTGCTCCACGCATAGAATAATGTATCACCCTGATCAAGATAAAGAAAAAAGGCAAGAGAATTGCACTCTTAATTAGACGTGTTTTTACGCGGTAAGCGGATTCGCAATGTCTAAGCATTATCATGTGATTTTAGGTCAGGTGTGAGAATGAGCATCTTGTTTGAGCACCATTGGGCGGCATTTTCAGGCCAAGTTTATTACCAACGAATTGTTTTTCCCCCAGCAATAAAGAGAGGGCAGGTCCGGCTATGTGGCATACGGCGCAAAAGTGTTTTCTCTCGCAGCTGTTTTCGTTGACCAAACCATTTTCTTTTTCTCAAATAACATATAATAGGTCGTAATATTTCCAAGTCTATGCATGTGATATCAACATTCAAATCTGACTACCTGTTATGAGAGTTGGACTTTCCCGATCCAACTCTTATGCCTGTCTATTCTTCTTCGCGAGGTCCCTCCCCCGAGAGGGTTGTTGTAGGGGTTTTATTCAATGGAAATACACCTGAAAGCTTCGCGGTGGCAATGAGATCCTTTGCAGTGACCGTTCGTGTTGTGCTGGACATTGTGGTACGGATGGCGTTACTCATGGCATTTTTGATCTTGAGAACGATCAGAACGACCCGGAATAGATGCCTAGAAAGCATGGGATTCAAGTAAAACTTACCTGCCGCCCATTAAGCGGGATAGCGGCTAGTATATCGAGATCTGCTTCACTGAGATTCATGGTGACTCGAGAGTTTGATGTAGCCTTGGCAAAATTTTGCCAGATACTCTTCCGCGCTGCTAGATCCGGAGCATCATATTGAAGAGATAAATGAATTCGGCCTGTTCAATATGTGAGCAAATGCCTTGACCTATAATAAGGATGCTGGCAGTGAGATTCCACTTCACATACTCTGGAACGCTTGGTCGATGAAATTGGCATGGTTTGTCGTCAGGATGAGTATCCCCTGGTAGTACTCCAGCTCCCGGAGGAAAATGGATACGATTGCGTTCCGCTTGATGTCTGTCAAGGTACGTGCGGCGAGGAATACGTCTGCCTCGTCCAGGAGCAAGACTGCCTTCCAGTGGCTGGCAAGCTTGAGTATCTGGGCCAACTTCTTGTGGATATCCTCGGCTTCATGGCCTAGGGCGCCACTAGATACCATATAGAGCGGCATTCTGGCCGTTTCTGCTATGGCTTCTGCCGTCAGTGTTTTGCCGGACCCGGGAGGTCCAGACAGCAGGGTGATGAATCCCTTTCCTTTACCTTTGATAAAGTCATCAAACCCAGAGTCGGCGAAATTAGATGCTATAACCAGTTTTGTTACAGTATCCTTAAGTGATTCGTCAAGTACCAGGGACTCCATGGCGTTCCTGAAGAAAGGAGGTCAGAAGTCCGGACAATGACAGGATGGTTGCGGTAGAACGGATCATTCTTACGTGTTCCAGGTAACGTCCCAAACCCTTTCCACGGCGAAACCACCTGAAAGAGTCATTAGCAGCGGATCAGTCATATCAATGGATCGCTAATAAGTACCCCACATCCCGTCCTGCATCGAGTATCCATACACGAGTCCCGAGACCAGCAGAAGCTGCTCTTTCGATAGTTGTTCAAGCTGGATAGCTACGGGTTCTGCTTCGGGGGATAGTGAAGAAGCAGATGGGTTAGGATCAGATGGAGGAAATCCTCTTATTTGCAATCTTCTGGGTCGCTTTGCTTCCTTAATACTTTCCGTTAGGAAGTCTTTGGAATCTTTGAGAAGGTCGCTGAGAACCTCCTGTTCCTTCTGGGTATCAGTACTAGTTACGTGACGACGACAAGGCTGCTCAACTTACATCTTCACTTTTCATAAGATCCGAGATCCATATTCTACCATACTTACGAAGTTTCTCCAAGTTGAGGCTGAATGTAAGAGGATGAAAAGGGTTTGTCGTTCGCATCATCTTGGGGTCTATAATGACACGACCGCTGAACTTTAATAAAGGAATTAGAACCAAATTTCGAGTCTTGAAAGTTGGAGAATCCACGACAACTCACAGGGTATAATTCAAGCTCCTCACGAGGCGTGGCTAATCCGGTGCCTTGGTGTTCCTGAAGTTGGAAGCCCAATTTCCAAAATCTGAGAGTTCGGGTGTTGCGTTGCTGGATATGCTCAACCATTTCTTCGCGTCGGGGGTGATGCTTTAAGGGCACGTAAGGGAGCTCTTCAAGGGCCCTGAAACCCTCGAAAGCTGGGATCTTTAGTGATGCCTGTGCGTATCCCATGTCATCGCCATCCCATTCAAGGACCTCAGTTTTCATTACGAAGAAGAGTCTCCCGTCAATGGGTACGGTTGAATGGCTGCGCACTCGCCAGATTCGCGTGAGACCTAGAGAATCAATGCCCACAACCAGGCAATCGGGTGGAAGAAGGGCCCAAAGGTACTCGAAGGTGATTGAATGAGGTAACAGTGATGGTAATATCGAAATCATGGTTTCGTACTCCTTCTCGATGAAGTTCAATGCCGCATTCATTTCAAACAAAGCAACCTTGTCTTCAACACTTGAGTAATGCTTGGCGAGGATCTGAAGTTCTGGTTTCGCCCAGAAGAGGAATTCAGGGCGAATCTAAACATCTTTGTTAGAATCCTGAACCCACTAAACAGGTTATTGAGATGAGATGTACCTCTGTATTCTCGCTGTCAGTCAGGCCAAAGCCTTGTGCGCCTCTGAATATATTTTGCAATGCATTCCGCAACTTTTGTCCCGGGATCCGTAATTTTGTATTGAAAGTAATCATATCCTCTGTGTATACCCTCAGCGCGTATATTACACACGGTTTGTGCTTCAATGAGGATTCTCGAGGCTGGGCCGGTTTGCAAACGACATAGCGTCGCCTCACTCTAAAGAAAATGGTGTCATTAATTGGATCTTTGCAGAAGGAACCTGACGTAGAAAAAGGAAAATAAGTTGGACCCCGAGCGGCTTCGAGAGCACTTACTTGTCCCAGCTTTATAGTAAATTAGCAAGAATCAGAGAAGCTTCAACCCAAGGAGTCATACGTACTACTGGTCTTTTACAACAAATTCTTTGCGATTGAGAGGATCGTCATTTCCTGACTTGACAGGTTCGGTGGGAGCGATGCCCTCGGTTTCATTATGGATGTTTGCTGGCGGTTCTGGCTGCGCAGGAGCATCCTCCTGCTCGTCCATGTTGTAGAACTTATCTATGGCTAACCACACGTATGTTAGAGTTGCTTCAAACTTCGGCAGTCCATGTTGCTTACCACTACCCATATTCAGACCAAATTCGGCCTGCAATGATTGAATGATTTCGGTGGAAACATCCTTCCCTATCTGTACTTTGAACTGTGAGGCATCGAATACGAGGCCAGAAGCAGCCGTCGTTCGCTGCCTGGCCGATTGGCTGAGGGAATGGATGTTCTGTGCATTGAATGACATGATGCCAAAAACAACAACGAGAGAGCGCACAGATGGAGACAAGAAATGGTGATGGTATGTCTGTAGAAATCTAGAAGAAGAAGACACGCATGTGACTTTCTCTGTTTAGATGGCGCGGCATGTGTAATGCATTTAGGGGTCAGTTACCACGCAAGGCAACGGCAACTTTCCGCAAGGCAACGGCGGTTTTTCACAAGGCAACGACGGCTTTTCGCAAGGCAGTTTGAAATGAGGGGATATGCCGTAAGCTGAGGAACCTGATGTCAATGCGAGCTGCTCCGCCATCCTTCCATTGGACAGTGAGAGCGGGGTTATGTTGCGGTGAGCCCAGACGGACACGTTTGTGGGACTTTAGTAATATTGAGGCGGCGTAAGTCGAATATGCACCGGGTCCGTGTTGCCTGATGGCTCATCTATCACCCCATTGCACATTCGAAGATTGAGATGGAGGCGCACAGCAAGTCCTCACAACATACTGGTCTTTATCTCTAGACTACGCCGTGGAAATCGTGGGACGCTTCATCAACAGAGTCGAGACGTTGACCCTCAATAAAATGGGTGATTTCAAGGGTCTAAGAGTGCTTTGGCCTCCCGATGGCCTAAAACCACCTAACCACACACATGAGTAGGGGTTCGCTCCCCTGTCCCATTCATAAGTGAACTGACCATCTTCTAGCATCGTATTTGTGCACGACCAGAGATCTATATTCGACTGGAAAGCAAAGAACGGAGCCATTATTCCAGTGCAAATTGGATCAGAATTGGAGACAAGTCGTATTTTTGGGTTTGGCTATGACCTGGGGGACGCGAGAATCACCTCTGACGGCTTCTTTGAAAATGACATTATATTCGGCCCAGGCTACGATCTGTGTTCAAAGCTAAATGTCGTGAAGAGTACAGACAAGGTAAGTGCGAGAATCCTGATAATATCGAAAGTACACGGAGCAAAGGCTTTAACCATTATGATAGGAGCACATCCCAATAACCTTTGTTAGCCATGGCGTCGGCGGTGTGGTCGTCAAACATGTGGGTGCGAGCGAGTTCGCGTTTAATTATGGCTATCTAACATTCAGTAACAGGCACTCTGGGTTTCCAAACAGAGACCTCAACTTGGAGCCATCTTGAAACAAACAAGTCATGTTATTTTTGTCGATACGCCTCATTCTAACTTGACTTGGGGCCTTTGGAAGACCCTATCAGCTGAACCCCAAAGCTTGGCAAGCCGTGGCTGTTGGCAACTATGGTCAACCGCTGTTGATAGTGCGCAAGAAAAGTTTCGGAAGCTTGCGTGCTACTTTAACATCTCATCGGCATTTCTAGCATCGAGAGGTCCTGAAGTACGTATCCCTAATCATCCAAGATTTGGATGCCAGCTTACCGTCATTGTTCGCTCCTTTAGGCATATCTTGATGGAGACACCTTGGCAAATTCGCCCAACGGAAGGGTCTTCGAGCTTCCCGTGTCTGAAAATCACCGAGGGCAAGGCCTTATTGATGAAGACTTCATATCGGAGTGGCTTCTTACTTGCATAAGAGAAACTAAATTTTGCTGGACAAGGAAAAGTGCCCACATTCTTAAAATTAAATCCTGGCTTGAACTCCAACCAGAGATCATCAATGCTCATACATATGAACGAAACCTTAGGCTGCGATGTCCTGGCACCGGAAACTGGCTTTTGAACCATGCATCCTTTCGCCAATGGACTAGTGATGGGGTTCAGAATCCAATCCTTTGGTTAACCGGTCCCCAAGGATCTGGAAAGTCTGTACTTTCTTCAATGATCACTCACCATATATCACAGACACTCCAGGACCCGGCCCCATATATCAACTTTAGCTCTCAAAAGCCTCGTTCGGCTTTTCAACTAGCCTCCTTGTTGGCTTTGCAACTTGTTGATTTTGCAATAGAGAAACATGGAGGTGTAAGCATTGAAATTCTCCACGTTATTGAAGATAAATCGAGTCGGCTCCAACGAATTCACCGCCTGCTTAAGATCCTTGTGTCTCAGTGCCAAAGGGTCTTTTTCATTCTGGATGGCATCGACCAAATGGGCCTCCCTGAAGGAATAGAAATGCCTTGGAGAGCGCACGAGGTGGAGAGAATAACACAACACATGGAAACCACGCTCAAGTTTCTCATGGATTTGGCTCGTAACACAAACTCTGGTTCTGTTAGAGTGTGGTGTTCTTCGGAAAACACTACTAGTGGGATAGAGAAACTCCTAACGAACGATTCAGCTACTACACGATTGCGCATGGAAGGTAATGCAGTTGCGAAAGATATTAGGAGATGCCTCAACCATCCTACTAAACAAGAACACGGTGAACTCATCTCTAAAGACAAAAATTCAGATCATATTTCCTTGCTCATCCCCGAAAGACAACGAAACTTTCTCTTAGCCTCATTGGTTAGGGAGGTCTTGGATACAAGGAGAAGCGTCCCAGGAGAAACGGAAAGGAATTTCGACTCAAGCCTAATGGACTTGGATGTGATCTTCAAAAAGACCTTTGGTGATATCTGCCATTCAAATCGATCTCAAAAAGAGGATCCATCATTCTCTTGGTTGTGAGTTTGAGCTAAGCACCCGAGACATATATTGAGACTTTTACTGACGCTTGCCTAACAGGGAGTTGCTTTCGCTGGTTACATTTGCGAAAAGGCCCCTGAGACTGACTGAAATCGAAGACTGCTTTGGCTGTTTAAATTCCGGAAATAGCTTTGTTGCGGAAGAAATCGTCCAGCATTGCAAACCATTCCTCACATTTGTGCCAATATCAGGAACTTCGAGAGACGGATTCCTTATGATATCGAACAACTCCGTCTTGCGATTTCTTCTAACCGTCTCGACAAGCTACGACTTAGAAGAAGAGACTGATCGGATTAGCCCTTTTGTGATCGCAAAGATCTGTCTTCGGTATCTTAAAAACCCAAGGCTCAAGTTGAAGACAAGCAACCCCGGAATTAGCTCAACATTCCTTCCTTATGCTACAAAGTACTGGACGCAGCATGTAGATGGGGTTTGGCCATTGATTTCCGCGGAGACAAAATCTTTTGTGCAATCTCCTCGGTTTTTGGAGGTTATTCAAATTCAAAGTCAGCTGCTTGAAGGATATTTGACGAGAAATTTGGACAAGCCTAAGGATGTCCAATCCACGCCATTGTTGAATTATTTGCCATCGGATCCGGATATGAAGGTTCTGGAAGAAAATTACCACTCTTTCCTGAGAGAATGGAGCCATCTTCTGGGATCGGAGCCCCTGCGAGAAACTTTACATGGGATCATGTCGAATTGCTTTTGGGGAGCACTAGGGCCATCGAATTTTCTCACCCAGCTTGGCGCACAAATCGAATTGAATCGAAGTTTCCTCCTGGAAGGAAATCTTGTTGAGAGAAGCACAATAAATTCCGACGGATCAGTTAGATACTTCCAGACAATCAGTGCTGATGGCAGCCGAATAGCCGTGTGGAAGTTACAAGTCCTGAGGCAAGTGAAGTTGCTGATCTCTTAATAGATGTTCCTTGGGTGATCAATCCGCTGACTTTCTAATTGAAGCAGTGAAAAAGATACTAAATCCGATCTCGTGGAGCTTACTAGAGAGTCCTGGATGGCTGATGGGCGGAGAGACCCCTTCCAGTACGGTGCTCAGGAGTGTCTCACGAGCACTCGTCGCCGAATTCGATGGGATAATTATGACTCCACTAGATCTCATGAGAACCTGCTTGTTCCGATTCTGGATTATTCAACGAGGCTACCAATATTTGAAGGCTCCAAGTATGGACAAAGCGTAAGGCTTGGTGCGCAAATTTTCCGACGAGATCGGAAGGGCCAATGGATCGCCGACACGTCAGACGAGGATGGGTTCGTACCGTACTGGGAAGACATCACCACATCTGGGCCTTATACAGTGTGGTCCCGTCGAAAACGGGTCGATCTTGAGATACTGGGTGGTCTCGGATCTCTGCAATCGATACTGAAGCTCTCATCCGGACGGATAGGTCAAAAAGAGGATGATTGTCAGCCATCTACTGGGCCAGAGTCCTCAGATTCCGAGTCTACCGCATCCAAAGTGAGTTCTGATGCCATCGGGGATGACTCTGATGAAGACATAAGTGAAACCGAAATATTTGATCTAAGGCGGTACGAAGAGCTTGAAAATATATCTTCTGCTGAGGAGCTTTATGGTGTTTCCGGATCCGAAATTGAAGAAGGTAACTTGAAAGGGCAAAAATATCATTCTTTTGCTCGCGGCACTGTACCGAGGCATGATTTAACCAGAGACTCGCGCACACAGGAGATCTTTGATCCCATCCTGCCGATGGCGGACAGAAACAATTGTTCCAGAGCGTCATCAGATGGTGATTCATCCGTTGGTGCTGATGCTGATGATGAGGACTCTGACTCAGAGAACACATATGCTAAAGCAGGAGACTCCGACTCAGAATCAAACCATAGCTCTTCCTCAATCTCGAGCGCAGAGAGTAAGCGTTTCCTCAGGTGCGATGTGTGCGATAATGATATTGCTACTGCCGACAGTGGGAACTCCGAGCTGGAGCTATGCTATCAGTGCAACCGCTGTGTTTCGGATGACTCGTACGATATCTGCTGGCCTTGCTACAATAAGGGAGCATGGTGCGCCAATGCAAGCCATAAGCTTCGTATCTTAGCCTCCAGCCGAGGCAGAGGATTTACTCCAAGAGAAGAAATTATCCGAGATGAAGCGGACCCTGTCCTTGATATTGTGATTGAAAAAATCAACGAAGGGACTCACGCCGGGCTGTTGTCCGTGTTCCGATATTCTCGGCGTAACAAAGACATGTTACACAATTCAAAGCCTATCATCCATCCCTCTCACCCCCTGGTTGTCTACCCACTGGATGGCCAGAAGTATCTGTTTGGCAACCTTGAAAATAATACTTATGTCGTCCATGAAGTGCCTTTCGACACTTCGGAGACAAACCAGACGAGTGGCGACACCTGCATTCCTGTGAGCGTTCATATGTCTTTCTCATCATGCGGCCGATATGTTCATGTTCTACGCATTACAGCACGCAGAGAATCTATTTGGTTTGGAGCGACCAGACTTCATGTGAGAAGTATTACGCTTAGACTCTCACCAACTCGTCCAGCTTCCGGAAAACCCCGGACCGAACCTTTTGCTTCTGGAGCGGATTTAGGGGACTGGCCCAATCTAATGCTGCAATTTCCCTTTGCTATCACATGGACCAATACACATGCATACCTCTCTCTAAGTGGCACATTCCTTCGGGTAATACGTTTTGATCTACAATGTTCGTCCAAGATCAGAGAGCAGACAGCGTATACATTGGCTGCTACCATAGCATTACCTCAGTCCGCCACGTCTAGGCCTGTCCATTACTTCCCTCCCTCTGGTAATGGAGCAGCAAAGGTGATCCTTGGAAGCAGCCAAGAGCATGAAAACCAGCCGCCTATAGTGGTATATCTTGCTTCTCAAATGGGGAACGTATGGGACAAGGTTGAGAACCAAACGCTCTTTCCGACACCCACATTAGGCGCAAAGAAAAGCATTTTCGTGGAACCAATAGGTATTGAGGATGAATATCATGCCCATCCAAGAAAACTCGGCCCTGGTGAGAAAATGGAGCGACATTTCATTGGATCGAAAGATGTCGACAGAGCAAGGAAAGCGGCCGTTAGAAATGGCAGTTATTGTCCTTCTTGTTTCGATCTTGGAATGGGAATGCTCACGCTTTATCGACCACATGGATTCGATTTGCCAATGATCGACCTGACCCCTGACCCTGATTATGCTAATATGGGACGAGCTCCCCTGGCTTGGAAAGTACCTCGCGATACGCTTCTCACTGCATTGGAGTCAGGTTGCCAGTTTTGTTGCTTCCTGATATACCGGCTGTTGGGAAGCAGTTCACGAGTGTACGGTCCACTCCTTGGCAGTACTGATCTGGCGTGTTGTTCTCAAGGAACTATTAAACCAGATAACACCTTGCGACAAACAATCTCAAGACTGCGGAACATGCGGTGGTTAGTTGATCCAGAGGAGCAGGTACTGAAATTTCTTTGTCAACCCCTCGACCAGGATCCGGCCTGCCGGACATTTACGAAAATGTCCGTCACGATGCCTGGGGTATGCACCAATCGGGAGGTGCCTCTCCCGGGTTCCGATACCAAGTTTGCCCCGACCATGGTTGCCATTGAAGGCCACAGCGAAGAGTTGGACGCTATTACTACACTGACCACATTCATTCATACAGATGCGTCTGACAAAGGGGTGCCAGAATGCACCTTGGAACTCTTTTCCCTTCCAGGTAAGTAAAAGAAAAGTACCTGGAACACGCTTTGAATACTCCGGTATAGTTTCTTACGTTATGCGCATAGATGACGCAGCTCATGAATGGGTACCGACCAAACCAATCAACACCTCTCCCGGGAGTGACCAAAACCTACATGTTATAAAAGGCTGGTTGGAAGAGTGTGACCAAAAGCATCCATTCTGCCAGCGGGCCAGCAGCAAACCCGGGTCGATACCAACAAGGCTACTTGAAATTGTTGATGAAGATACCGTCTGCCTCGTTAACGCTGTTGGAAATAGTACACGGTACATCGCTTTGAGTTATTGCTGGGGCCCTACTTCGCAGAATAATTCCCCAACGACAGAAGATAATGTGTCAAGTCGGTCATCTGGAAGAGAAGGAATCCTACGTGAAAGCCTCCCCGCCGCCATTAGAGATGCCATATATATTGTCGAGAAGCTCGGCATCAAGCACATTTGGGTTGACGCTCTGTGTATAGTCCAAGACTCACAAGAGGATAAGAGTCGGGAGTTGGCCAGGATGGGCCAATATTACGGTGGTGCTTTCTTGACAATTGTAGCAAACACCTATCACTGCAATCAGGGATTTATTGGCGAAATCGGGCGGTGCAAAACACACACGGAATCCCCAGTTCCTAGAGACCTCGTGCCATTCAACGGAATTTTCTGGTCGGATCATGATACAATGGGCCGATTTGGGACCATACTCCTGCGGGATGAGAACCCATACCTCCTCTCCAAGGAACCAATCTCTAAGAGAGGATGGACGTTTCAGGAACGTCTACTCTCAAACCGCGTCCTCTCTTTTGGCAGTCGTGTGATGTGGTCGTGCCTTGGCCAAACAGCCACTGATGGCGGGATCCAAGATTGGTCTTTCGATGAAAATGACCCGGATGGCACAATTCGAGAGTTTCAGAACGAATTAGCTAAACTTGAAAAGCGAAGCAATCCCGAATCAGGCAGCTCCAAGGCAGAAAATGATGGAAGGGCTGGAAGATACAGTCTTTGGCACAAAATAGTGGGTAATTACTCGAGACGGGCCATCACGTACTCTGAAGACAAGCTTCCAGCTATTGCAGCAGTGGCAGAGCAGTTTTCAAGAATGAGCGGCGATGAGTATGCTGCTGGGCTCTGGCGACGGAATTTCGAAACGGATCTGCTATGGTCTACACCATCACCGGGGACTAAGCGCCCTGAGAAGTGGCGAGCACCGTCATGGTCATGGGCGTCTGTGGATGACCCGATTCTCTACACGAATCTTCCCGGGGATGACGCCAGTCTGCTAGCTGAGATCACAACGATACACGTGTCCCAGAAATCTCCCATCGTGCCTTTTGGAGAGATAAGTTCGGCAACACTCGAGATTAAGGCTCCCTGCATTGAATCGAACGCTACTGATATAGCTCGGATGATCGAGCCCTGCTTCCCAACCTTAGGCGTAGAAAACGAGCGAAATATGGTACTCAACTTTTTGAGTGGAATAGGGACTTACGGAGGGGAGCTGAAGGTGGACTTACCGGAAGAGGTCGCCTTACTTTTATTGTATGTGGAGTACCGCTCTTCATCTCCAGATCCGATTGCTACGGCTGAAGAAGATTCACATGCGAGCGAGAAATATTTGAAAATATGGGGTCTGGTATTGAAACCGGTCAATCATACCAGAGACTGTTATGAGAGAATTCTTGCCGTCTCTGGGCTAATGATTAGGGTCGTGGGAGCGGATACGCTCTTGTCACGGAATAAGGTTGTGAGAATCATGTAGCTGGATCAGTAGGGAGAGCATAGCCAACACACCCTATTGTTAGATGCCTAGTTGTGTTATCACCATATTGAAACGTCATAGTTCAAATTGCATAGTGAGATTACCTGCGGCTTATTTGTCCGCAACGCCTGTTTATTAAAGAGGTATATGAATTCTAAGAACGTATGGCTGGAACAACGTGAACTGACGAGTCGCGTTAAGCATTAAAAAAGTGAAAAAGGTTGAGACAAGGGACATATCAGTTTGTTTTGGGGTTCGTTTTGATATCACTTCATGCACGGTTTCAAGAATGAGCGGGTCACGCGACAAACTCACCGCACCCTTTGAGGGCAATTCTAGTAATCAGGCTCTTTGGAATGATAAACTAAGTTCCAAAGTGCTTTAAATGGTGGGATATAGCCCACTACTACCGCCTACGACGCCCGCCTATGATGAAGCATATAGTACGTAGCGAAAGGAGAGAGATTAGCGAATGAATTAGCTAAAAATGTATTTATTAGTGATCAAAGTTATTAATAATAACATGCAGCTTTATAATAGATTTAGTGTAGTATAATTAACCAAAAAGAAAGTTCTATCTATAGAGGGGGACACGCATGTCATGCACGTCTAGGCTGTGAACATCAGAAGGCTATTGGGAGACACCGCGTCAAGCTTACTAACCTGAAGCTATCTTTTGTAACTACCCGTTTTACAAGGTTGCGTGTCTAAAGCTCATAATCTTACTTTCGTTTTGAAGCCCTCTATTGGTAAACCCGTAACTGATCTCAACGATGGAAGAGAGACAAACCCATCGAGCCTCACTGTTTGTTCACGCTTAGATCAGACCTCGATTCACGTCTGTGGGGCGACAGCCAGATAACTGAACTGGGCCTAGCGTAAGGCAACACAAGGAGGCGCAGTCGAAACGCAAGGCCAACTGTTCTTCATCAGTTAATTTCTCAGCACTCGCCATACTATTCATCAATTCGAAAACGATTGACTCGAGTAATCAGATACATAGCTCTCTAGTTTTGCCTTATGAGATGCAGCCTCGTCAATTGCCCGTCCCCATTTCATCTCCTCAACAACACAACCGTGCTACGTCGGATAGATCCCAACCAATATAAAAAATGGCCAACATCTTATCTCTTCCTGTCGAGACCCTGACCGGCATTCTGGGCATTCTTATGCCATTTAGATCATTGAAATGGCATGGGATCGATCATGAGATGAAGCAAAGCTTGCATCTTCGCCTCGTATGCCGTAAGTCACACTGATGATTTTCTTGACCCAGCACCCTTGACGACCGACGATGTCTCTTTTCACATCTCCCCGTTGAAGCTGCGAACTGATGAAAGATCCTTGTTAAGGAGACTTTGAAAGCATTATTTCCCGGATGGTACTCCCAAGAAAGGGTCACAATTTTATCCTGCCGGAAGTGTGTCCGAGTAATAGCTATACTATGGCGTGGCTTGTCCGTATGAAATGTCTACTAGATGACATGCAGAAAGGTTCGATGACTGCATGCTTTCGACAATGGGCATCATTCATGGCCGCGCAGAGCACGTGGCACAGAGATGGCCGGCCTATTAGTGAGATTGAATGGTTGAGAACTGTCTGTAGATCTGCGGTCGAATCCCAGTCTCAACACTCGGATTTAGCAGCACTTCTTCAACACAACGATAGTGGGGTACCGTCTAGTCTTGATGAGATAGACTTTGACCTCCCTTTGCGTCTTCTTGAAAAACAGGAGCGTGAACCAGATGGTGATAGGGCTGATATCATGAGAGATGCCGTAGGCGCTCTTCACATTGCTGCACACCAAGGAATTCATGCAGCTGTCAACACACTGCTCATTGCTGGGGCCGATCCTACGTATAGACATCCAATTTTTGGCTACCCAGAGGATAACGCAGTCTATGCCGGCCACCTCGGAATTGTTTCCTTATTACAGGAATATGGAAGCACGCATGAACCTCGCAACCCCCCTGTCCGCCTCCTCTCTATTGCTGTTAAGAGAGACTACACCCAAATTTTCAAGTTCCTGCTCGACTCAAGCCCCTTCCTTTTTGGCAAGGCTGACCTATATCGCTGGATGGAAACAGCATGCGAGCGTGGAAATATCGATATCATTCGTGAGATTTTCTTATGGGTTGATAAGTCGTCTCCCCGGGAAGAGGACAATCGGGGTTTGATAAGTAAACTCCTCTGCCGTCCTAAGCCAGCCGAGAGTAAAGAGTCCCCAAGCCACGGAATACGCCAAGTAGATCAGCAGCGCACTCAGAATATTGTTCGAAAAGCAATACAGCATGGTCATCCCGAAATCGTTCAGTTCCTTATCCGTCGACATGAATTTCGCCCGACGAAAGCAAAAGATATACGGGAGCCCTTATTTACAGCCTGTCGGCAAGATCGAGGAGATATTCTCAAAATTCTACTAGACCACTACTATGTGGACCAGAGCGTTTTGGCCTTGCTTTTACGTGATGCGGCATACTTCAGCAGGGTCTCAGTCATCAAGGTGCTCTTGGATCAGCCAGATATCAGAGCAGTTACCGGATCTTCCTCCATGCAGATGACTTTGTTGTTTGCCATCAAATATGGCTCCAAGGATGCTAAATCATCGGAGATTGTCCAGATGCTACTGCTAGAGAAGGGTGTTGATCCAAATGCATGTCATGGGTGTACACCGCTAGAGGCCGCCGTCGAAAGAGATGATACGGCCATGGTGAAATTGCTTCTCAGCCACCCAAAAGTGAACCCAAATACCAGAGGTAATGAGAATAGCCCCCTTTGCAATGCTGTGCGGGGAAAAAGACTAGAAATAGTACGGCTACTTCTCGAACGACCAGATACAGATGTGAATCAGGGTTGCTCAGATGGCGAGGACTATGGTGACGCACTTCGTTCTGCAGTTCAACTTGGCGAAGTCCTCATCACAAAACTGCTCCTGCGTCGGAAGGACATCGACGTGAACAAAGCCGGCAAGCATCGCCCCCCTTTGGCTATTGCGGCTTCTTGTGGAAACAGTGAAATCATCTCGGAGCTTCTCAGCCACCCCGGCATTGATCCAAATCATACATCCAACTCGCGAGAACCGCTCATGGTTCATGAAATGGCAAAAGATAGCTGGAGTTTCGAAATGACGTTATCTGAAACCCGATATGGTTCAATCTCAGACTCACCATTACTGTTGGCAGCACAAAACGGCTACCTGGACACCGTCAAATTGCTGTTGGACGATTCCCGTGTGTCTACAATGTCTTTTGATGAAACTGGGAGAACACCCCTGTGGTGGGCAACCCACAAAACTTCGCCAGATATTGTCAACCTTCTACTGGAAAAGGACGACGGAGAACAGATCAACAAACAAGACATCCAGGGTTGGACGCCATTGCATATTGCGGTGAACCAGAAATGCTTTTCTGCATTCCTTGTTTTACTATCTCATCCAGATATCAAACCAAATGTAGTTACTAAGGATGGGTGGGCACCATTACATATGGCCATAGCTGGCGGGATGGGCCTAATGGTGAAAACGCTCTTTGAGAATCCGAAAGTCAACTGTGAGCAGAGGTTGAGAAAGGCTGGAATGACCCCATTGGGGTTGGCGAAGGAGATAGGAAACGAAGATATTATTGCTTTGGTATCGAAATTGCCTCGCACACGCCCAATCACTCGATCTAGCTTGATGGTCGGAACAAAAACAAAACTAACGTGAGACGGTTGCACACTAACCCCGGAGTGAAGAGGATTGAGGAGAGACTTTCCTGTGTTTTGAATAGTCATAAATGAAAGTGTATAATGAGATAATGTGTATTCTATGTGTGTAATTGTAGTGACTAGACTTGGAGCAGATGTCTATATGCTTCAACAAACGAGGAGACTATTTCGATGTATCCATCTAATTCTTCCTTTGTTGTTCCAAGAACAATACTCAACATCCCCCGCTCGGTAATCCAATAGCCCCTGCTAATGCACCAATACCAAAAGAGCTTCTTGAGAGGGTTGATGTTGTGATTTTCGATATCCGACTCTTTGCTGGGGCGGACACCATTATCGAGAAAATGAATGGTTAAGACCGCGCCCTTTCCAACGACCACCATCTTCGTGCCTTGAGAAATTTCTTGAAGCTGCCCACGGAAGTAGTCCCCCAGGGAATTGAGCTTAAGACAAACATCTTTCGTGTAGATTTGAGTCAATCCTACATACCCGCAGGACATAGCCAGCGTGTTGTTGTTAAAAGTCCCTGAATGCGGCAAGCTATCTGGTGATCTTGGATCATAAGCAGCAAGAAGATGCTCTTTGCCACCAAAGGCGCCGAAAGCGAGACCACCTCCGATGTATTTACCCAAGGCTGTCAAGTCAGGATCGAGGGCAAACTCGCTTTGAAGGCCAGCAGGATGGAGCCGGGAGGTCATAACCTCGTCCAGAATAAAGACAACGCCGCACTTCTTCGCTGTCTCTTGGATGGCGTGTAAGAATTCACGTGTGGCGGGGATGCAGCCTCCCGCTCCTTGCATTGCCTCTACAATAACAGCGGCGGCATCGGGAGTGTTTTGAATCAAACCTTTTACCCCTTGCACGTCGTTGTAGTCTCCCAGTACCCAATCAGGTTTGTCAATGGTATTCTTAGCTATACCATGAGCAAAGCTGAGCACTCCACCATGATAGCCACCACGAAAAGCGATGACCTTCCTCTTCCCAGTCATATGGCGGGCGATACTGAGGGCATAGATATTTGCTTCGGTGCCAGAGTTGCAGAACCGTACTCGCTCGATGCTGGGAAAGCGCTCACAGAGGAGCTTCGCCAGCGCAACTTCGTGGGTCGACGTCGCTCCAAAGCTCACTCCTACATCCTCGTAAGTTGAGAGCAACGTCTTTTTGATGATCGGGTGTGAATGTCCGTATAGACCAGCTGTTAGCTCGCCGACAAGATCGAGATACCTAAGGGAAGAGCAGGGTCAGTAAGAGCTTGGATAGAGATGATGGACGTACCGCATACTCGTTTTGATCATGATCCCATAATTTATTCCCCTCTCCCTTCGCCATGAAAATTGGAAATGGCTCATTGAAGAGGACGGATCGAGTGTTTCCACCAGGCAAGAAGTCGACGGCTTCCTCGAAGTGTTTCTTGCTCGCCGGAAGACGGTCGATGTATGAATTCCTTGCTAATGTGAGGGCATCATCCAAAGATTCGAGAACTTCTCTTGGCGGTGTTAAGTCAACGGTAGGCGGCTTGGAGAGGTTCCCCAGCGTCGCCCTGGGCATAAACGTTGCTTCAGCCATAGTGGTCTATCTGTGGTGGAGTGATGATTGCAGGTTGATCCTAGACACACCAGTGCGCCAGCTTTCCTGATTAAAACGCCACCCAAATAAACAGTTGCTTGAGTTCAGTTATTTAACATGTGTAGGCCGACGGAGCGGACGGGCTCCAAATCAACGGTAAATCCGTTACGTTCCGTCGTGCTCCGTCTCTTATCGAAGAGCCCCACCCTTATCGTACCCACGGCGGATAAGATAAGATCATATAACGGCTTCGACGGAATTGCCGCTTCTCGGTCCTCCCCAATCCTATTACCTTGCAACATACGCACCTCATCCCGTCCGGGAGGCGCAGCCCTTTCCGCGTCAAGATTCTAGCTGGTCCAAATCGATGGCGGATACCAGTCTCCCCGACAGGAGTACGCCTACGCCGAAGCGGCAACGCAGGGCAGCCAGAACCGCACTAGCATGCACGTTTTGCAGGTAATTCCCCAGATTCTGAACCCAAGCATGGGTTTGTCAGATTGCCAATTCGATTAACGTCGATAAAGGAAGAGAAAGATTAGATGCTCCGGGGAATGGCCCACATGTTCAGCTTGTGCAGCTCGCAAGAGAACATGTCTCTATCCTGGACTTCCTCCAGCAAATGAATCGCCAAGAGTCAGTTTGCCAAGTATTGGCAGCCTCGAGCCAGAAATTCACAGCGGAGAGTATGGAATAAGTCTTTCGTCTCAATTAGGCACAATCATCTAAACTTAACTCAGATTACCGTCAAAATGTATTCGCCAAAAGGTCATCTCCTGTTTTCGAGAAATGTTTACGCCAACATTTTTCAATTTCATTCCACCCCAACAACTCGTCGAAGACGAATTTGGGGATAATTTATCTTTATCTCTATTATTATGCATTACTGCGCTTGTATCAAGGTTTGCAGGCACCAAGCCCACCGGAATAATCATTGTCTAAGCCAATTTATATCTTAGATCTGTCCCTGAAATTAGCTCCGGCGAGACATCTTTTCATGCTGGCGATCACTTTGCAGAATTGGCAAGAAGGGAGCTTGCCCAAACTTACGAAGAGCCCTCCTTGAATACCATCCAGTGCTGTCTCATACTTTGTGTCTATGAGATTGGTGAAGGGTCTGAACTGCGAGGATGGCTACGGCTAGGCCATGCTGTGAAATTAGCTCAGCTTCTCCTACTTCACAAACAGGACACCAACCTTGGGCTCATGGACTGGGGACGCTCTGCTACTCCCTTATCACCGACGGTCTCTGAATCAAAACGACGGACCTTCTGGTGCTGCTTTTGTCTCGAACGCCTGCTAGCCAACGGGCGTGACCGAATTGTCACGTTTTCCCCCGATGATATCACAACACAATTCCCGCAATCTGACGAGAACTTTATATATGGGCACCAAGTCCAGACATGCACATTGAATTGCCCCGACTGGTCAACCGAGGCGCACAATCACGTCGAAAAGGAGACCATCATGGGATATACAATCAGAATTGTCCATATTCTTTCCCAAATCATCAGTTGGAATGGCAGAGGAGGTCGGCATGTCGACACGAGCTTCCCGTGGCTGACTGGTACGGCCTTTAACAAACTTGATGAGGATTTGAAACGGTGGGTATCTATAATACCGGCCTTTTTGAAGTACTCTCCACAGAACGCGTCTGCCATGATCGCCCTGGGAAAGGGGAAGCCATGGTCAATGATGTGGATGGTATATTTCCAGGCGAGGGCATACTTGCATAGAGAGTATCTGCCTTTTACGCCTCAAGAAGAGTATGATCCATTTAAAGGTAAGGTCAATTCTCTGTGCACTTTTCAGGACACCGGTAACTGACATCAAGAAATTTAGGCCCGATTGATGGACCAGCACTATCGGTTCCTGCGCCGAAAGATTTTTGGCACAACTCTGCCGCTGCGATGATTGAGAGCGCCAATGCGATCTCAAACCTGTACCAGATCATGAAAAAGAGAGGATTATCAGCTTCTGCATATCCAATCCCCGGGCTCGGGTTGCTCACTGCGGCAAGTGTTCATGTCGTGTATTCTATATTTTCCTGGGATACCATGTGCAATATAATAAGTCCTGAAGAAAGCCGGTCTTATTTAAAACAGGACATGGATGCATTCAATGATATTGGCCAGCGATGGTGCCTCGCTATCCACTGGGTAAGTCAGGAGATATTTATTTTAGCATTGTACGTATTGACCTCTGACAAACACACCTAGATGAGACAAATCTCGCTATTTTACAAGCTTAACCTTCTCACCAAGCAGTCGTGGGCAAACAACAACGACAACGACATATCTTCTATGAATGTGAAGGAGATAAAGGATGGCATCATGAATTTCGTCCGCCAGATTAGTCTCAAAGATCGCCAGACACGTGATGTCAACCTCAAGCCAACATTTGATTTTGACGGCTGGATGAGCGCTATGCAGAGTTCGGTTAGCCAAGAACAGGGAATGGAGTTGGGCGACCTAGAGATAGCTGAGACTGGCTCGCTTTCAACGGTATACGTGGACGATTTGCAGGTTGATCTTTTGAACAATGCCTCTGGGATGTTCTATCTCGACGGATTGGCTGAAATGGGGTTGAGTGGAGATGTTGAATCCCTGGTCGAGGAATGGGGCCAATCCGGATTAGAGTGAAGTCGTAGTGGTGGTGTTTTACATGACAAGGCTTGCGTTGTGGACGCGGCTCGCATACTCACGACATCTATGATGGACCATGTTATTCATTTACGGTCCAAATTAAGCAATAATCTTCGCCGGGAAACTTTTGCCGCAGGTCACAGAACTAGGGCCCTCTTTTACACTTGGGTCAACCTGACCACCAACCAGCCATATAATCTCGGCCCCCAGTATCATGATGTTTTGCTCCTTTGTCTCTGCTTATTACTCAGCAGGTCTAGGTGGCAATCGTATCTCATGTAAATTGGCCCCCCTCTTAGGAGCAAGAAGCATCGCTATCTGAAAAATTCTACAAAGATATGACGCGCACCACGTCCCCGGAACCCAGGACTGTCCCCTAGATAAAGTACACCAATATCTAAGATTAAGTTGGGTGGCCACTTGGGAGTTGTTGAATTTCCAAGTGGCTGAGATCTAAACCGTGCCACTAGCCTTGTCGGAAGCAGGTTCGGATAAGCTCCCCTTATATTGGTCTTGTCAGTCTAGATAAGTCGCTGCCAGAAGTAGAGACCGAGATAGCTTTGTGGGGAAATATTTCATAGTTCATCTGCCGAAAAGTGGAGAGAAGGCTTCAGAGGAGACGGGAAACGCTCGCGTCCAGCCAACGGAGTTGCCGCCCCCGGCAACTATCAGTACCGGAGATATCGTTCCCCCAGCCTAGCCCCAAGATAAGAAAACTACTAAACCCCATCCACCCTTCATGGGGCGATTCGGATTCAATACAAGAACCCCTGGGTCGTCAGTTGAGGCAGAATTCAATGCCCTAGAACGACACATCTACTCCCAATCCATCAACTCAACTCTAACCACAGCCAGTGAACCTGACATGGACACTCGTCAGGAGACCCAGGACGACTCCAAGTCGCTCAAGATGGAGACTCGCTCAAAGGTGTCCGACGTCGAAGATGGCACCGTTACAGAATTGGACGAGGGTGAACAGTTCCTGAGAGACAACGGAATTAGCAGTGCACAACTCCATGCACTCATTAACGACGAACATGCTGTCAAGAAGCTTGTACGGAAGGTGGACATGCGAATTCTTCCGCTTCTAGCTGGAACCTACATGATGCAATATATCGACAAACAGGCTCTTTCGTATGCGGCCGTTTTCGACCTGTTCACCGATACCAACATTACGCAGACCCAGTACAGTTGGTTTGCGAGTATGTTTTATCTTGCATACTTGATTGCTGAGTACCCGTGGAGCTCACTAGCCCAACGCACTCTCATGGCCAAGGTCGTCTCTGGCTGCGTGATCTCATGGGGGGCTGTGCTCATGCTCACGGCTGCGTGCAACAATTTTGGCGGCTTGGCTGCCTGTCGCTTCTTTCTTGGTTTCTTCGAAGCACCAATCACCCCTTGCTTCATCATGATCGTCAGTATGTGGGTAAGTTACATGGCCGAACCACCAACCAAAGCCAAATTCAATCTGACGTCGCATTCCAGTATACTAGGAACGAGCAGCCCTTCCGAGCCGGGATTTTCTACAGTTGCAACGGCGTCGGCTCAATGCTCGGAGGACTTCTCTCCTATGGGATTGGACAGATCCACTCATTCCCTGTCTGGAAAGCGATTTTCCTCCTCTGCGGCGGCATCACTATCGTCTGGGGCATTGTCATGTTCTTCTTCCTGCCTGATAACATCCTCAGTGCAAAGAACTTTACAGTTGAGGAGAAGGCCACCCTTATCGGACGTGCCAAACTAGGCAGAACCGGAATTCTCAATCGCCACATCAAGATATATCAAATCAAGGAAGCTCTGTGTGACCCTCAGATTTGGCTACTCACCCTATTCATGCTTCTCAACGAGATCATCAACGGTGGTATCTCTAACTTTGGCAAGCTCATTATCAAGGGTCTGGTGAAAGATCCTCTCTTAACCACTGTCCTTGGTATTCCACAAGGCGCCTTCCAGGTCTTCTGGATTCTCACGGGCACTTTCCTTGCCTCAAAGTTCCGCAATTGCCGGACCTACGTGATGATGGCCTATCTAGTACCCACCATAATCGGTACCTCGCTGATGTGGAAGCTCGACCGACAGAACTACAAGATTGGAGTTCTTATTGGATACTATATCTGTGGAGGTTTTGTGGCCTCGCTCGTTGTCGCCCTCCAGATGCCAGCAGCGAATCTTGGAGGCTACACCAAGCGTGTTACCGGCACGGCCATCGTCTTTGCCGCATACTGCATTGGTAACATTATCGGTCCCCATGCTTTCCTTGAAAAGGAGTCTCCAACATATCCAACTGGCTGCGCTGTGGTTCTTTCGTGCTCAGTGGGGCAGGTGGGCATTGCGTTCTTGCTTCGTATGTTGCTTGTTTATAGAAACAAGAAGCGAGATCAGACTCACCCAGTTCTTCCTGAAGATGATGCCAATGCCGCGGATGAAGTGTCTGCTGACTTGACAGACCTGGAGGTAAACCTCTCAAAGCTATCCACTGTTGTTTTGGTTCCGAAGCTAATCCGTGCTGTGTCTAGAACCCACGCTTCCGATATGTCCTGTAAACGTCGTGGCCAACTGAAGGATAAATGGGGGACAATCATAATGATAGCTTGTAATTAGAGCTCAACCTGTCAACTGCTTCGTTACCTCGCTACAGCTTACGTAGGGGCTTTCCTCAATATTTAACTGAGTGGCATTTGTGATCATATTAAGATCTTGCATATTATTTATTCCTCCGCGTAATACTGTGAACTCAGACAAATTAATTATCCGCAAGCCGATGACTGGTCTCAATGGCCAAACCAGTCAGAAAGGAGGTTGATCCGCGTGAAATATAGCCGTTGCTTATCGTGTTGACTTTAAATTCCCTATCTCCTTTGGTATGCTCGCCGGATTCGGGTATTGGTTTCCTTTGCCATTGAACTACCAGTTGTTATGCCAGTCAGGTGTAGCCTAAGCCTGGTACTTCGCTAGTTTACGTCAAGATTAATCTAAGTCCGTGGCTATTTGGGACAACGGCAGTGCCCCGTCTATCCGTGGCCTGAGCTCCCGTCTCTTCCGTCCCACGCCGTCCATCAAGGCGGACCTGTGAGGCAGCCATCCTGTATTAGCTACTAACATGTTTTTAGTGAATATACACTTAAGAAGATTTATTCTGCTGCCTCGCCTTTAAAATATCCACAAAGCACGCCAGCTAAGGTAGTAGAGTTTCTCCCCTATCAGCCTTTCTCCCCCCTTTTTCGCTCTTTCAATACCAAGAGCGGGCATAAAACACAGACCAAAACCGCCATTAGTTTCAATTCATAGTGGAAAGTTCAATTCCTATCATTACGACAGACCCTTCGCCTCTCCATATCTCAGCTCGCTAAGGGCCAGTCTGAGCCAAGAGTTAAGACTCTAAATTTACAGGGCAAGATCATCGGCTTCAATAACTCCCACAATGGTACCCCCGTTGGACACAATTATCGGTACCTGGGAGCTCCTGTCCTATGACATGATGGTGTCTTCAGAATCTGGAGAGACGGAGGTCCGCAAACTGGCAGGAGAGACACCTCTTGGGCGAATCGTGTTTACACGGGATCAATTTATATCAGTTCATGTAACTGATCCCAGAGCTATCAGCCCAACTGAAGACGGGGCCTGGTACCAAGCACGTGATGAGGAGGTTCTCCGTGCTGCGCGGCCTCATGTCTCATATTGCGGCCAGTTCAGGCTTTTTCATGAGGGAGAGAGTGATTATCTTGCTACTACGGTCCATGTCGCTTTAGACCCAAATTGGGTTGGATCTGAACAAGTCAGGAGGATTGAGATGAACCACGACGACGGACGTGGGCTGCTGACTCTGCACCCTACACAGGAGTTCCTCCTTTCGGTGAGATGACGGACACCTAGCCGGGTGACAAGACCAAATGCGCTAACAAGAGTGTTCTGATGCAGGATGGCAAGAAGTCTACGGCAAGCCTGACTTGGGTAAAGCTACCTTAGGACGGTTGTAACTATGATTATGCCAAAGACCTGACTTAGGGTGGATCGAGGGGGATCACAGTCGGAGCTATACTCTCAATTTACAAAGTAGACATTCATCTCACCAGCAGGCCACATGTTTTAGATTCCGTGGGCCTCAAGTAGTGGCGCTTAGAACTTGATTACATATCTAGATTCACGCAGTGGTAATAACATCTTCTTGTGCTTAGGCTTAGCCGTCTCCGAAATAACTTGGTTGACCTCCGAGATCCGATGGATGCTGTTGTGATTGACCTTTCAAATGGCTTCCAAAAACTTCTAAGAAGGCTAATCCGTTCATCTTCTCTTCCCTGGCTGAGTGAGTAAAATGGCGTCTTCTGAAATAGATTCGGATTAGTGATGAAAATTGGTTCCCTGATTCATCGGGTTCGACCGAGTTTGCCTGGTTTGGGCCGAGTCGGGTTAATTCCGTGCCGACTCCTGGACCAAAGGCTGATGTTAGAGCCGGACTTCTTCGGCACAACTCAGAAAACCCAACGGATGCCGTAGCATAAATAAACCAATCAACAAGTATGTTATTCATCACATCTTCGATTTCTCATTTGCTGTTTTCACACTGGAATAATAAAACTGCCGACGTACACTCGCCTACATCCATCGCATCTGCTTCACAGTATTGTCAGCACACCATGGCCATCATTCAATCCATCCTGTCTGTCATTCAAACAATTTTCTGCAGCGGTCCCGCCCACCTTCTGTGCTACTCAGCTCTTCTCGGAACAGAGCTGTACCAATCCTTCGTCAACACCAAAATATGCTTCCTCGTCCTCCCAAGGAAACCCTTCACCGCTCTGCAGGCGAGGGTCTTTCCGGTTTATTTCCGCATCCAGTCCCTCCTCCTCCTCCTCTTGGCTGTCACTGCTCCCTCCCGTGGGCTCCTGTCTCTCATTGAACGCAAGTCTAACTGGGTCCCACTACTGGTTGGCACTTGCACGGCGGCACTGAATCTCTTTGTATTTGGCCCTCGCACCTCCAGAGCCATGGTCAGTATTGATCAGCAAGGTACAGGTATGTCGGTTCATCAGTCGGATCAATGCAAGTGAGAAGTTCAGATCTAACATGGACATAATCTTTAGCGACGGCTAATGCCCAAACCGAGCCAAGCGAGAGACAGCCGCTTAACCAAGAAAAAGCCGTTTTGCGGAAGATATTCAGCAAAAATCATGCTATGAGCATCCACCTCAATCTAATCACAATAATAGCTACCCTTTGGTATGGCTGGGGGCTTTCTACTAAACTCGCTACGTGATGTCGCTTTATAGAAAAAAAAAAAAACATTAAACCCCTAAAAACTTTTAGCCTAGACGTATAGTGAAAGTGAAACTAGAAATGTAGATAATGGTGTTGAAGAATATTTTTATTCAGTATTAGAAGCTGAGCTTTGGTTGCTAGAGCTTGAGCCAAAGATATATGCTTTCTAATGAGATTCGGAAACTATGGTTCTCTGCCAGTCTGTATTAGTGTAATAATGTTCACTTCATAGAGTGTGTATTATTAGCAATCATTGTCCTTTAAGATCGTGAAGTAGAGATGGCGGTGACCTGTTACAGCACGCATTTCTTTCCATCTGGTCAATTACACAAGTACCTTTAGATTACTATGTATACAGATCACCACTCCAATTTAACAACTCGACGACTTGGAAGAAACTATGATTATTAAATCCTCGTAACACCCTACCTCTTCATCTTTTCCTCATCTGTTTTCCATCCTGGCTGATTTCTTCCCTAAGATCTAGGGTAGGTATTTTTGGTGACCAGCCGTCTTGGTAATGACTCAAAACCATGGACGGTTTTGCCTGCTGGTGGGTCGTCTCGAACTTAACTTGGTTGCATTATTGGCACAGTCATGAACAAAGGTTAGAAATGTTTGCTTCGTCCTGCAAGCTTCCTACGAATGAATGAAGCCAGCCTCTCCTATGCATGCTCAAGATCCGCCAAGACAGACATTATAGAATTGAATAATTAACCTGAATAAAGGAGAATGAGATTAACCCTTTGCAATTCCCGTATTATGGCCTATTAGAGAATGTCTTGGCAGGATTTGATTACACATGGACCTCCCCAAGTTGGTCAAGTCAGCACGATCCCTGTGCTAAGCTAGGCCTTCTAATTTAAATTCCGATTCAAGGTAAAAAATCTCCCACTTTCCGTCTCGGCCAACCTTCATTTTAAGCTTCATCGTCACTCGTTACCGCGTACATAGTATCATGGCCTTCACGCCGCTCGTTATCCGGGTGGTGACTGCTCTGGTGCTGTTGACCGCGCTGTCGGCCAAAGTCCAAGCCGGCGGCCTCTCCGCGCCGGACACGCTCATCGCCAACCAGGCCGCGAATGTCACCCTCTCCGAAACGCTGGACAAAGATTCGGAACTGCGAAAAACATACGATGGTTACCGCGTGTACCTTGCACTCACGCCGCCGGGCTGGGGCACAGGGCCCGAGTGCTGGCTCGCCGACAACCTGGATCTGAGGCCGCAGAAAGTCAGCGTCGTTGTCCCCAGCGATGTGGTGCCGAACAATACAAAGGTTCGCTTCGCCGCCAGTCTCATCAAGAAGGGGCGAGAGAACGCGCATGGTTTCTTCTATAGCAACACCGTCATTTTCCAGCAAGGCAACGGCACATGGAGCCAACGGGAGCTGAACGGGCGGAACCTGGCCAACGAGAACATACTCAACTGCCAGGCTTTGGGATGTGTGCGGCGGTGCAACGATCAGTACTACACAGGCGAGGAGTCCAGCGAGAAGGCAGCCGACGATTGCTCCGACCAATGTGTCAAGGACTGGAGTGCGGCAAACTCGGGCACACCGTCTCTCAGAATACCCGTGGCCGCTTTGCTGGTCGGAGTCACAGCCTTTCTGTGGCTTCTCTAGTCTGATAATGTATGATTCAATCTTGTTGTTATTCTGCTAAGAATCGTCAGCATTTCAGAAGATATCATGCCTCTGAAAATTGTTCTGGCTACGTGCTAAATGTCAACCGATTGACCTCAACAGGCATTGAACGATAACTACTTGGATGCTCTCTCTAGCTGCCGATCGCTCAACGAGGCAGATCAGCTACTTGTCAGATTCCTAGTTTGATCTCCAATTCGGCAGCTTCTTGGTCGACAGACAGAATAGCTGTACATACCCAAGAACATTTGGAGTTTATCCGACTCCGGGGCTGGCTCGTTTGTGTCTGGGAGTGGCATTGTCACCAACCCTTCCATAAACGCCTTTTGCAACCAGGCACACCGCATTATCCGGATGCTCGGTTGCTGTCGCTAGATTAACCGAAAAGAGGCTAATCACTTGCTAATTAGTTCTTGATATGGAAGCAAATAGCTAATCTAAACTTGTAATGTTAGAACTGAGTTTAACATATCTAGCTGAGCATGAGAAGCTTTGCACTGTAACAACCTGCGCTTTGACAAAGTTTACCTGAGGAAGAACGTGAGATTTGGGAAGAGAAGATTCTATTGACACGATCGTTTGCGTGCATAGATACCGTTCGTAGCTTCAAATTATTCGACGAGCCAATTCATATTGGGCCAGTAAGCATTGTTAACGGCCATTGACCACCATCTCTGTCATCTAACATGCCTGAACCAATTTCTCATAGTCGCGGTTACAGGTGTTGCTTTCTCCACCTACCGGGAACTCTAATCAGTCTACACAGCGACACGCGGTGAGTGCTTGTGTATGAAGGCTAGTAGACAATGCTCTGGAGAGTTCTTCCTACACGACGCAACAACGCCCAGAATAAAAGCCGCGGTTACGGTATGACGCAGTGGCTTTTTGGCCCGGACGCACAAATCACTGAGGCGGGATCTTCCAATGTTTGTGCCATTTGGAGAAATACGGCGGGAAGCTAGAGCTCATCACTTCACCTGTCGGAGATGGCTTCATCCTCCCTGAGATTACACGGCAGAGTGTTCTAACCCTTACGGACAGACAATTGGGAGCTGCTAGAGGTAGTTGAGTGACCACTCACACTCACATGTCGGATCTTGCCGCTGCGCACGACGAGGTTAGGCTGGTGGCAGGGCTGAAATTGTTGATGAATAGATAGGAGGTGAAGGACAGACTGGGGTCATGGAGCACGCAATGAATGTGCATCCGCAGGGGTCCTTTTATAGTGATATTTAAGGGAACATGGCGATTGTAAGTCTTCAGTGACCTTGATTCTTGTGAACATCGTATGGAGAAGCCAATTTGCATTTGAGCCAAGGTTGTTTCGATGGCACGTTGAGTTTGACATTTCACAACCATGACTTAGTGCCACTTTATTTTGTTCAGAAAAATCACAAAGGCATCATCTTTCTTAAGACTCTTCAGTTCAAGATAATGCATCTGCCAGACTGATCCAAGTCCTGGGCTTATTGTACATACCTACAATCGAAACAGTATCTCTTGCCTCTGATCTCTGATCAGCTTACTGTCAATGATCCATAGTCTTCTCCCCATCCCATGCGTAAACATGGGGGACTGGCCTCATCTGGTGCGAATCACGAGGGTGTAGCCGGTGCCACTACTGGATGTATTAAAGTTTGTTGAACCCCTTTGTAGGATTTGTAGGATAAACTGTCCACTCGCCATTCAAAACATCGATATTGTACAATCAATTAAGCACTAGGGCCCACGCATCTTTTCATCAATATGGAGTCTGACTGGTCACAGGCAACAGAAACATCGGAGGAGAGTGCCTGGGACAACCGGGATGCCACATTTCTTTGGCTCGATTCTGAACTACCTTTGGCTCTCATCAACCATTTCTCTTTCCCAGGTTTCCCAGGCGCCAAGTGATGTGCTCGAAAGTGTGCCAGATGCTACCCAGCCTTCAGCAGGCGTTTCAGGTGGCATTGCCGATGTCTTCACTAGACCAACCAACGCCTCCGGGTCTGCTTCTCCGTGGCCGAGTGATCCTCCCCACAATCGTCGCACGACCGGCCTCCCCTGACATCGGAGCCGCTACTCCTTGCAAAGACCTGCCGCCGGGGCACATGCCCAGGCAGTTCCGATTCCGATCGCTCGATTGCCTGACTCGCAGGAGGATACGTTGCAGCGTTGGCGTGACTTGCCACCCTCCGAAGAGCCTGCTTCATTCTCGGTCAACTACCCTGCCAAGCCGTTCAAACCTTAAACCAAAGTCAAAGCCACAGCTCTCCCCTCCAGAGACATTTATGAAAGTGACTGCTCATCGACGTCCAGGCACCCCTTCTGCTCGTCTTGGACCAAGTCGCTCTCAGTCGTTATTGGAAGACAAGGAGCGGCAATTCCATTGCTCTTTTTGCTGTGACCCCTTTAGATCGAAGCATGACTGACTGGAACGGCGACCCCGACGTTGATCCACGTACAGCCGCCATGGCCACCAATGCTCTGCCACCCTATCTGGTTCATTATGAATCACAGAGCGTTGTCCCATTCTCTAGGACAAAACGTGGAACTAAGGATCACTTTCATCATATTTGCAGCCAGGTAAATGTACGTGATGCTGCCTCCTCTTATCCTCAACAGACAAGCGTGGACCAGGCTCTGAGTGCTTTCACTTCCAGTCCATCCTTGGACCAGCTCCGTTACCAATTCCGTGGGTCTATGCTGATGCCCTGCGCTTTTACCTCAGCCGATGCGTCTAGCGGGGATTCATACCTACCGACAACATGACACGGGAGGAGTCTCGATGTATCATTTGTGAATGTGACGACTGGGGAATAAACGATTGGAGACAACCTAGAATGGCTGGTGAGCTTCCGCCGACACATTTCAAGCATCGAGAAGCCAGACTAGTTGCTTATCTCTTAATGCTCTTGGACAATGTAATCAAAATCGAAGCGGTGTTTCATTTATGATTTTTGTCGGTTAATGTAGTAGATATCTGCGGTCGACAGCTCAAATCATCATAACAATCTCAGGCGTCAAACCTGGCGATTAGTGCCTCATTTTGAATCATCAAAAGCACGCTAGCTTCAAGCTGGATAGCACGTAATCTTACTTACTAGACACAGCTGGTATCTCTATGAGCACCTACGTCGATACTCGCCCTTCAACTACTTTGGCAAAGCTCAAGTGATCATATAATCTGGCATGAGCGCCGAGCTTGAATGCGTCTTCAACCTAGTTGATATCACCTAGCAATACAAAGTTTCAAACAACCTGAAGGAAAAAATCCCCTTAAGCTTGGCAGAATCAAAAACCTCTATGAGGAAGAGGAAGTATTTTGCACACTTCACACCAATTCTCTTTCACCTGGTTCTTCTGCTTGTTCGGCTTCATACCTCTTCTAAACTAATTCCCTGGGTATCGGGATAGATCGGGTTGTTACCGCAGCCACGTAGATGTTCAGCTGGTGCACATGGAGGATCCACAAGGCATACGAGTTGCCAGGTAATACACTACACAGATATTGGTGCGGAATTGGTATACTGGCTGAGCTAACGTGTGCATTGCTTGATGGCTAGAAAGACGAGTCAAAGGGAGCGACTTGCTCAAGGGCAGGGGGCTGGACCATTTTCTCTTGCTTGGAGAAACTCTACCATGCTGGCGGCGGCTCATGAAAAAAGACGCTGGCGCAATCAACCCTATTCCCAGCTGAGACATTTCACCAAACCACATGCCAGTGGCGGCATTTTCAGAATGGGAAGGTCTCCCGGGTTTCGGGATATAGCAAGAGGAACTAGCATTCTTTCGGAATATGTTCCTTTCCACCGTCAGGGAGGGGTAAAAATTACGGGGAGTCAGTGATGGCGATGAAACGGCGGATGGTAGTATCCAACTACCGAAAAGATACGAGACTCTGTTTGAGACTGCCGGCATTGTCCTCTTTCGGACTGAATGTTTCCATGTAACAGATAAAGCCGGATAGGTTCCAATTGGCCGAGAGGAATCAATGCCAAGAACACAAGGTATCATTACTGTGCTGGGGCACGAGCTGGAGAATGGCTGGACTTGAATCAACACCCACAGTCGCGGGGAATTATGCAACAGACTCGGGCTCATTCATAGAGTGGTAGTTTGCAGAGCTTCTCGATCGGTTCTTTGCTCAGTGAGGGAATGAAACTTCTGAGGATCCCGAGATATGCGTGGTTATTCCCATAGTGTGCCGACCGATGGACGTGCCAAATAAAGTCCAGTAATGGAAACCGGCTTTGCTCAGACTGATCGTCCACCAATACCGGGGTTGGATTGGCAGATAACCGAGACTGGGTATCAAACCATAGGAATACTGCACGTGCTATAGCATAATGAAGCTAGGGAAGGATTCGGTGACATCTCTGAATCCGGTCAGTATCTCCTTGTTGGATCGTATTCTCAATGGGTACCATTAGATTAGGTACCACAATAATAAAATCGGTTAGCGGCTCCAATGATATTATCTAATAGGTACACGAAGGGATAGTACTTTACTCTGCGCGATTCTGCATTAGGGAAAAGCGTGGAAAATGTCATGCGGCTTACAAGGGAGAAGCTGGGATCAAGGATCGATCGTCACCACGTTCGTCCATGTGGAGCCTCACAACAATGGTTGGTATAACATGGCACTTATTGTTCAGCATCATGTCCTATCACAACCAAGTATTGATGTGTTGGGGGTCTCAGTAGTGTATCATTCCAGTCGAGGAGCAAAATCCCTCGCTCGGCACTTGGAAGATGGTGGGTGGATGAACCATCAACTAGATTATGAGGTGGATACATCTCAAACAGCAACCCCCGAGGTGAACCAGCCGTTCAAGCACGTTGATATCATTTCTGTATATATACGTAGATGGGCGACCTGGAAAGTCAAATGCCCCTCGGCTCAGTATAATGCTAACACTCATCATATCTAAGACTCGCACTTTGGTGATAGGTCGAAGTCTTGAGAACAAGCCTCATAACTCCTAATCGAATCACACATAGCCAACATTCAGAAACGTTCATCACAATGACTTTTCTTCACGCACCTATTGCCATCACTGGCATTGGTAAGTTGCCATAGAGGGTTCTACTTTACAAAAGAGCATAGACATGGCTGGATGCTAACGGGCCATAACAGGATGCCGTCTTCCTGGCAACATCTCAAGCCCCTCAGAACTGTGGCAGTTTTTGGCCGACGGACATTCGGCACAGGGAGAAATGCCGAAATCTAGATTTAATATGGACAGCTACCGTGGACAGGCAGGCCAGCCAGCTACTACAAGGGCTGCCGGCGGCTATTTTTTGAGCGAAGATATCAGAAATTTTGATAATTCATTCTTCGGCATTAACAATAGGGAAGCGAGCGGGATGGATCCGCAACAAAGGAAATTACTAGAGGTAGTATTTGAATGTCTCGAGAGTGCAGGCACAACTCTCGACGATGTATCTGGGGCTAATGTTGGCTGCTATGGTATGCATCACTCCCCGAGCTACCATGAAAATCCGCTAACTACCTACCTGAAATACAGTCGCCTCATTTGTGCCTGATTTTATTGCAAACCAAGCCAAAGATATCGAGTCCTTGACTCGATATACTCAGACAGGTCTGGGCACAACACTGCTTGCAAATCGGATCAGTCACATCTTCAATCTGAAAGGTCCGAGCTCTGTTATTGATACAGCCTGCTCGTCGTCTTTGTACGCCTTGCATGCCGCCTCTTCTGCTCTCTTGGCCGGGGAAATAGATGCCGCCGTTGTTGCCGGCGTGAACATTATACAATCACCCGAAATGCACGTTTGCATTTCTCAAGCTGGGGTGCTCTCGCCGACCTCGACATGCCATACCTTTGATGAGTCGGCTGATGGGTATAGTAACCATTTCTCAACTTTCGAGGATGAATTGTTCTAACTAGTTCTGTAGTTATGGCCGGGCCGACGGCGTCAACGCTATCTTCATCAAACGTTTGGACGATGCAGTCCGTGATGGCGATCCAATCCAGTCCGTCATTCGATCTGTGGCCGTCAACTCCAATGGCCGCACTCCGGGCATTACGCAGCCTAGCATCGACGGCCAGGAAGCAGTCATCAACAAATCCTACAGTCGAGCCGGCCTGAGCCCTTCGGAGACCTACTATGTTGAGGCACATGGTACAGGGACAGGCATCGGCGACCCCATGGAAGTAGAGGCAATATCTCGCGTCTTTCAAAAGGATGACGGGAGAAGTCACCCAGTCCGTGTCGGGAGCGTCAAGACAAACCTGGGCCATAGCGAGGCAGCGAGCGGCTTGACAAGCATTATCAAAGCTACACTGGCTCTGCAGAAAGGCGAGGTTCCTGCTACGGTTGGGGTTAAGAAGCTCAACCCGAAGTTGAACTGTGACAAGCTGGGCGTGGAAATTGTGACGAGCAAAATTCCCTTCCCCAGCGACAAAGATGGCCCATCTCGCATCAGCGTGAACTCTTTTGGATACGGTGGCGCCAATGCGCATTGCATCATTGAGGCAGTCGGTGAATCGAAACCAGCAAATGGGTTACTCACAAATGGGCATGGAGACAGTTCAACGGAGAGCCTCTTTCTGCTTCCCCTCTCTGCAAACAATTCCTCATCGTTAAATGAACGCGTGGAGGCACTATCAAAGTTCAATCTATCGTCTCTTTCTATTGCAGATTTGGCTTACACGCTCGGAGAACGTCGTTCACATCTGGCCCATCGTGGCTATATTGTTGCCAAACAATCTTCAATCACAGACGATGTCACCATCGACAATCTTCGGACCTCTGCCTTGGGTCAGGATATCGGGCCCAATGCAAGGCTTGGTTTCGTATTCACTGGCCAAGGTGCGCAGTGGAAGGGAATGGCTCATAGCCTCTTACAGTTTCCAATCTTTGCCAGTACGATTCGCCAATTGGATACTTATCTATCTTCAACGGCGCATGCCCCGGAATGGTCCCTATACGATATCCTTGCAAATCAATCTGATGTCAGCCGAGCAGAACTTGCTCAACCCATAACTACGGCCGTGCAAATCGGAATCGTAGATTTGCTACGGGAGTGGGAAATATTCCCTGAGGCAGCCGTTGGCCACTCTTCAGGTGAAATTGGAGCCGCTTATGCCAGCGGTTCCATTTCTGCCAGGGAAGCCATCCTGATTGCCTACTACAGGGGGTTCTCGGTAACCAAGTTGACAACAGTCGGTGCCATGGCTGCTGCAGGCCTTGGCCCAGCTCAGGCCAATGAGCGGCTTGAGAAGCTTCATGTGAGCAACACGGTGCGGGTGGCATGCATCAATTCTCCTGAAAGTGTCACTCTAAGTGGAGATGTGTCCGGCATTGATTCAATCTCTGAGGAATTGCACAAGGAGGGCATCTTCATTCGAAAACTGAAGACAGACGATAGGGCGTATCACTCCCACCACATGGAGGAGATCAGCAACATTTACGAGACCCTCTTGTCACAGGAAGTGTTTTCAAAGAATATCGTCAACGGGGAAGGGAAATCGGAGACACGAACATCCAAGATGGTTTCCACTGTGACCTGTGAAGAGGTCGTTGGAGATACACTTCGTTCCGCATCGTACTGGACAAAGAATTTGACATCTCCTGTCCGTTTCAGCGATGGCTTGGAAAAGCTCAGCCATTTGGTCAAGGATCTCAAGTTCGTTGAGATTGGCCCCCACGCAGCTCTCAAATCTCCAGTGCTTCAAACCCTTGGAAACTCAACCATATATTTATCGGCACAACTGCGAGGCAGTGATTCGGCCGTTACCCTGCTGAGCTTTGTTGGCAATCTATACACTCGAGGTTTTCAGGTCAACTTATCCAAAGTCAGGGTGTCATCCACCATGGCCCACAAACGGCATATTGCACCGCATGTCATCTTGAACTTGCCCACTTACCCGTGGCATTACGAACAGGAGCCCCTGTGGGCAGAGTCTCGCTTGAGCCATGAAGCCCGCTTCCGTAAAGTTCAACGACATGAGCTCCTGGGTTCCCCGGTGCCAGGTGGTAACGGGTCAACGATGGCCTGGAGAAATGTCTTCCGTCTAGAAGATGTGCCCTGGGTGAGAGACCACAAACTTGACGAAAAGGTGGTCTTTCCAGGAGCTGGTTACCTTGCCATGGCTATGGAGGCTTTATCGCAAGCTCTCCCTCCGGGCTCTTCGCTTAATGAAAAGTCGATTCTTTTCAATCATGTTGACATCATAAGAGCTCTGCCATTGGAAGAAGGCGAATCCACCGAATTGCACACCGAATTGAGTCCTATTTCACTGTCCAACACAGCTAATTATAAAGACTGGTGGACTTTTCAGATTCATTCAGTTTCCAGTGATACTGTCTCTCTCCATTGCAAAGGTTCTCTAAGATTTGAGCCCGCTGAATTTGCAACACAGCTTGAGTTACCAGCCAAGACTTGTCGCATCGCGGCCCAGTCACGTCGTCTTTGGTATGAGGCATTGGAAAAGGGTGGGATCGGGTTTGGTCCCGACTTCCAGCAACTGGATGAGGTCTATACTTCAGACCCTAAGGGCGTTTTTTACGCAGAGGCAACTACGAAGTCAATGATCCCGCTTACCAATGAGGGAACAACTTACCAGTCCGACTGTTATGTCGTCCACCCAACAATCATAGACGCGGCATTGCAGGTCTGCTTAATCTCTTCCACTGGAGGATTGATTAATGGGGTAAAGGCAAGGGTCCCTGTGAGGATTTCAAAAGCCAGATTCGCGTTGCCAAAGGACACGACCAGTCCTGGTGTGCTTCGCTCGTCCTCGAAGGCGATAGGCGTATCTGCTCATCGAGCGACGACAGTACTTCTTGATTCTGAGGACCGCGTCGTGGTTCATATCCAAGACATTGACACTACGGAGTTTTTTGGTACTATTGAATCGGAGGACCGCCATCCAATTTACAGGGTTCTGTGGCGACCAGACTTTAGTGCCATTAGAACGAACGACGACCTCACGCACGCACTTCAATACACTCTTTCATGCACAAAAGGTCACGATTCTACATCTTTGGAAGATGAGATGTTGACAGCAATTAGTCTTGCTGCACATAAAAATCCCGATTCTCGCATTTTGTTCATGTCACAGGATGAAACTGTGCTTTCTCGCGTTCTGGCAAGCATTCTTGATGCAACTTCATATTTCCGAAAATTCCAATCTATTTCTGTCGGTAGACAGAATAGCGACAATGGTGACTTTGAAATTGCCAGTATCACCCAATTTGCCTCACCTCTTGATCTGGCATCATTTACCTATCGCAAGCCAGCATCTGGGGACAGGTATGAGATTGTCGTTCTCGGAGAAGATCTACGTACGCTTAGCTCTCTTCGTCAGAATATCACTCCAGAGAGCATTATTTTACGGACAGCGGGAGAAGGTGAAGTTGAATCGCTACTTCCAGAAGGCTTTACGGCTCTCTGCTCTACCGGGTCTCAGCCGGGGAGTGTTCAATTACTGAGACAGGTTCCTGATGAAGTGAGAAAGCTCCCTCATTACACCAAGGTCGTTTGGGTCCGCGATTCATCTCCAGATGGTGTGGATTCTCGCCTTGAGCAGGACTTGGCCCGGTGGTTGAACGCACCTGTGCATAAAATGACCCTTGGGGAGATGACTGAAACCCCAATTCCCCAAGATACACTAGTCATTTCTACTGTCGAACTCGGGCACGAAATACTAGCCCATCCAACCCAAGAGCAGTTCGATGCAATCAACAAGATGATTGATCATGCTAAGCAACTCGTGTGGGTCACTAGAGGGAAGCAGAGTGGGACATACAACCCAACACACTCTCTATTCGCAGGACTTGCGCGGGCTGTCATGGTTGAGCAGCCCTTAGCACGTATTTTCACTCTCGAGATGCACCCTGATGCAGATCTGGCCGACCTGGCTGGTGATATCAAGGTTATACTTGACCAATCTCAAAACCCCAGCTCGGATTATGAGTACTTGAAAAATGAGAAAGGAGGATTAATGGTCAGCCGGACTGTTCCAGATGAGCTTATGAATCAAGCCTTCCGGGAGCGGCAAAACCGCTTAGCCCAAAGTATTCCGTTGAAAGAAGCGGGAAATGCCACGCTCTCTTTGGAAAAGGCCGGCCAGTTGAGCACGGCACACTTTGTCAAGACTCCATTGAAGCCCCAACTGAACGACGACGATGTGGTCATTAGGATTCTCTGCCTTGGCCTCAACGCCAAGAACGTATATGCTCTCGCGGGTCGTCTAAACGTGCCTCCAAAAGGGTTCAGTCTCGAGTACACAGGCGAAATCGTCGCTGTGGGTTCTGCTGTCTCTGACTTGGCTGTCGGAGATCAAGTCACTGCCTTTTACCCCAATTATTTTGGCACATATGTCATTGCGCCATCTTGGAGTTGCATCAAACTTAGACAGGGAGAAGATTTACGTGAGATGGCTACTGTTCTAGTTGTCGTGGTGACGGCCATTTATGCCCTCGAGCACCGCGCCCACTTCCAGCCTGGGGAGTCTATCCTTGTTCACTCGGCTGCTGGTGCGGCGGGTATTGCCGCCATTCAAATTGCCAAGCTTATGGGCGCCGGAGAGATATTTGCAACCGTGGGCACAGAGGAGAAGAAGCAATATCTTACTGAGCACTTCGGGTTGCGTGCTGAGAACATTTTCAATTCGAGAGAAGCCGGCTTCGCGGTTGGTATCAAGCAGGCCACCAACGGCCGCGGCGTCGATGTTATTATAAACTCATTGGTTGGGGAACTTCTCCACGAGGGCTGGGAATGTTTAGCTGACTTTGGTCGATTTGTTGAGATTGGTAAAAAGGACATACTTGATGCCGGTCGTTTGAACATGGAGGGCTTTGCTCGCGGAACCACGTTCACGGCATTTGACCTGCAGAATCTGATTGAATCCAGCTCACCTGCACATCGACGGCTGTTTCGCAGCATGCTAGAACAAGCTGTCGAGCTCGTAAGACAGGGCCAGGTTCAGCCTATCAAGCCACTCTCTGTCTTCAATGTCTCCGACGTCGCTTCAGCGTTTCATCACTTCAACAGCGCTAAACGAATGGGCAAGATCGTTATATCTTTTGAAGATGAGAGCCAAATAGTGCCAGTCGTCCCTGAAAAGTTCTCAACGCTTTTAGACCCAAGAAAGGCCTATCTTCTGATTGGATGCCTTGGCGGTCTGGGTCGGAGTCTTTCCAAGTGGATGCTCAGCCGTGGCGCACGCCAGCTCATATTTGTCGGACGAAGTGGTACTCAAAAGAAGGCGGCCAGGCAACTTATCGAAGATTTAGAGGCAGCAGGAGCTATTTGCACTGTTATCACAGGTGATGTGACCAATTATGACGACGTTGTCAAGGCGCTCAAAGCAAGTGAATCGCCTCTAGGAGGCGTCGTGCAGGCTGCCATGGGACTGAGTGTCAGCTTCTTCAACACAATGTCCAAGGAGTCGTGGATCAGTGGCATAGAAGCCAAGGTCCAGGGCACTTGGAACTTGCACAATGCCCTCGCTAGTTTGGGCAAGGAGAAGGATCTTGACTTCTTCATCATGACAAGTTCTGTTTCTGGGAAGGTGGGAACAGCAACAGAGAGCAACTATTGTGCCGCCAACAACTTTCTTGACATTTTTGCCTCCTACCGTCGAAGTCTAGGACTCAAAGGCATCGCACTCGGGCTGGGTATGATCTCAGAGGTCGGGTATCTGCACGAGAACCCACACATTGAAGAGCTTCTCCTTCGAAAAGGAATCAGACCAATCAACGAGGACGAGGTTCTTCAGATCTTTGATTTTGGCATGTCATCGCCGCCTACTTCAGCGCAGCCAACCGATTCACTATCCTACTCACACATCCTCACGGGCCTAGAAGTAACAGGGCTCCAACGAAAACATAAGAGAGGATACAACGGATACTGGGAATTCTTAGCGGGATCACGATTTTCTCTCCTCACCTCGTCGCTGAAGAGGAGCAGCGGGGACGAGGCAACGCAAGGCCCAAGTTCTCAGTCGTCCACCATCGCCGAAGCCATAGCTTCTAAAGACGATGCGACACTCACGGATGCCATCTGCAAAGTGATTACCAAGAAATTATCATTCTTGATTTTGCTCCCTGTAGAGAAACTTGATATCAAGACGGCGCTGTCGGACTTTGGGATGGATTCTATGCTGGCCGCGGAATTACGTCAATATATTTTCGGGGCAACCAATGTGGATATCTCCTTTTTAGAATTGATGGATAAAAAGACCTCGGTGACGAGTTTGGCGAAATCAGTCATGGCAAAGTTACAGGAGAGTTAGCTTTTGTTAGTAAGGGTGCGCAGTTTTAGGAGTTTGTTTGAAGTTGCAGTTTAGTGCCTAGAGATTGGACTTGACTTGCACAAGGGAAAACAAGTGGTTATCGATACTCAATTTCAGTTCATTGTAGGCCCTCTACAAGTTTATGCCTTCTTTCATATTTGAACGGGACTTTGCAATAGATGTAACATCATAAAGAAGGTGAGTGATAGTGAGCAGAGGGTATAATAATCGGTGAATGCAGGCAGGAGGGGGACTTCTTAATAGTACAATAGTAGCTATTTCGGATTCACACAGTCTTGAGGATGTGCTGGTTGATGCTATTTGTCTAAACCCATGTCTGCTCCTTGACTAAAAGCGAAAGCCATTACATAGAGATAGCAACCATATCCTCCAGTGCATTCTTTATCGCACTTAGTCCAAGGGGAGTCAATCATCATTTCGTTTTCCTTCCATGACCAACTTTTATCTACTATCAACGTCCGGTTGTGCCCAGTCTCCGTGATTGTAGTCCTCTCGCAAAGAATAGTCATACATCTAGACAGAATACTTTCTTTGATTAGTCAAGGAGTTCATCCTTTGAAGTTTGGTCGTAAAGTATCTGGTTATTTACATAAGAAGCCCCTATATTTTCGAAAGCATTCATCTATAAAACAACATGGATTAGCGGCAATAGGAGAACTCAATTTCCCTATTGGCTAAACTAGAACTCGTCAAGCATCCCTAAGAAATGTGAATCATTCTAGCCCAGACGTCGCATTTAAAAGAAGGTTAAATCTTGGAAACTCTCTCGGGGTTTCAACGTAAATCTAATCCTGTTTTTCTTTTCTAAAATAACGAAATGCCCATCATCTATCGAATGGGAGTGTATCAGTCAGCTGTTATAGTAGGCGTTTCGTCCACTTTGAGCCTGGCAGACCGTCTACCGCGACTCAATGCCTTTAATTATTGCTACTGTAGTCGTCTGAAGTCGTGACATCCATGTCTTATTGCACGTTCTCCACGCATCTGCCAGTAGAAGTTGTCTGTCTGATACGCAGTATGTCGTTCACACCGAGCTCACATGTTTGGCCACCATCACAGTCCTCATTACCAGAGCATGGAAGGCATGTCCCCTGTTTACAGACCATACCGTCAGTGCAGTCAGTGTTTGCAAAGCACGCCCCTTCCTTGGGGACGCAGAGACCAGGATATTTCGTTGTTTGGCGAACACTCAAGACATCGATCTCTGCAGGCACGACACTTTGACGACACGTTTGGTCATCATCGCAGTCTGAATCGGCAGAGCAGGGGACACACTGGGAGTCTTTACAGACCAATCCCCTCGCGCAGTTTTTCTTAGATTCACAATGGGGTCCGGCCACGCAGGCTCCTTGTTCGTTGCATTTCTGGCCGTCGTAGCAGTCAGAATCAATGACGCAAAGGCCGCACATCCCTTCTCGACAAGCCTTGTCCAGATCACAGTCGTCCTTACCCGAGCACCTGAGGTCTTCCACGCAGGAGCCCTCAGAATTACACGTATAAAATTCGTCGCAGTCGTCGTCAGAAGAGCACTTCTCGCACTTCCCTTCTCGACATAGCAACCCCCCCAGGCAATCACCTTTCTCCGTACACCTAAGATCTTCCACACAGGAGCCCTCCAGATTACACATATCGAGTTCGTCACAGTCGTCGTCAGAAGAGCACTTTCCACACTTCCCTTCCTGGCACACTTGTCCCGCCGTGCAGTCAACGTTCTCCATACACCTGGTGTCCTCTACACAGGAGCCCTCGGGAGTGCACATCAGATCTTCGTTGCAGTCGTCGTCAGAAGAACACTTTCCGCACTTCCCTGCTCGGCATATCTGACCCTCCGAGCAGGCATCGTTATCGTTGCACTCTGATGGCGCGAGCTTACAGGCTCCCTCGACACAAGATTGTCCGAAGCCGCAATCCCCATTTGACGAACAAGGGAGACATTCGCCCCCCAGACAAATCCTACCATTCGTGCAGCTGCTGTTTTCTGTGCAGCCCAAAATCGCTTGACAAGATCCTTGGCCATTGTATTTCTGACCGGGCTGACATTCCTCATCGGACATACAAGGGACACACACCCCCTCATCACAAACATGACCGTCCTTGCAGTTGTTGCTGGTAAGGCATTCTGGAGGATCGCGACAAAAGCCCTGTCCATTGCACTGTTTAGAACCGCCACAATCTCCATCTGAGGAGCATGCTCGACAGGAACCCTCCTTACAAACTCTGCCGCCATCGCAGTCGTTGTTGGAAGAGCATTCCGGAGCAGGCGCTGGTTGACATTTTGATTGTGTGCATCTCTGGCCTTGGTCGCAATCCTGGTCGACCGTGCAAACACCACATTTCGAGCCCTTGCAGACTTCGCTGCCCTTGCAGTCCTCATTTTTGACACATTCATCCTTAAGGGGAGCCGTCTGGCAGAGACCGGCGCGGCACACGAGACCTTCCCCATGGCAATCACTGTCAGAAACACACTTGCCACACTTTCCCCCTATGCAGACCTTTCCTGTAGAGCATTCTAAGTTTGAGGAGCACTCTTGTGTTATTCGTGGAGACTGACACATTGATTCGAGGCATACCATCTTGTTCTCACAGTCTTGGTCGATGGTGCAGATTGCACACTTTTCGTTCTTGCAAATATCATTTCCAGGACAGTCTTTGCTTGATACACAGTTAGGGATGCTTGGAAGAACCTTGCATGTGCTTTCGCTGCAGCGGCGGCCCTCATCGCAGTCGTCGGACGAGATACACTGGCTGCACTTTGACTCCTTGCACACTTGCCCATCATTGCAATCTTTGTTCTTCGTACAGGCTCCACTGCTCTTGGGCTTCTTGGACTGACAAGTCTGGTCCTTGCAGACTCTTCCAATACCGCAATCCCCGTCGTGTGAACATTCCGGCCAGCGGTGCGGAAAGCAGGTACCCTCCACGCTGCATGTATCGTGGCCCCGACAGTCCTTATCTTCTCGGCAAGTAGATGGTGTAACTTTTTGACAAATATTCTGCGGGTTGCAGAACTCCTTCTCGTTGCAGTCAGAACTGGACTTACAACCGAACCGGTGATCTGGGAGTGCGCAGCTCTTGTTGGTGGTGCAGTACTGGCCTATAGCACAGTCGCTGCTCTTTGAACACGTGGGTAAGGCAATACTCTGACACACCCCGAAAGAGTTGCACACCTGTCCTCGTGCGCATTCGGAGTTCTTCAAACATTTCTCTCCTTTCTGAGTAAGGCAGATAATTCCCTGGCTGCAAATTTGGCTTGGGGGGCAGCTAGAGTTACCACTGCACTCTCGAGCGGGGACGAGCTGACAAGATCCACGGCCATTGCACATATATCCTCCGTTGCAGTCCTGGTAGGTTGTGCAGTTCGGTCCAGAAGACAGCTCACAAATACCGGTTGAGCCACAAGAGAAGCCGTCTCTGCAATCTCCATCATCGACGCAGCATGGTAATGGACCGTTGTAGTCTGGCTTGGGACGCCACGGGACATGACTACTTTGTGGGACGCCAGCATAAATCCATGAAATTGGCTCGTTGTTTGCCTGTTTGGTGATGTTGCTTGTGTAAACGAATGGCTGAGATGAGACTTCAATGCCACACGTCAGCTGCCCTTGTCTGCAGTCTGCAAGCGCGCTCGCGAGCTCCTTGAATATCGTAACGGTTTCTGTTGCCGCCGCGCGGGCATGCTCATGAGTATCGTCTAATGCAGCCACGAGACAAGCCGCAGTTGTTGCGGCAATCAACCGCAAGGAAACCATTGCTGATAAATTAATCCAACGGGGGTGTCTTTCGCACTGAATTGCACCCAAAAGAAAAGTATAAAGATACAGACCATCAGATGCTATGGAAGGAAGCCATAACCCTTGTATTGCGGACTCTACAATGACAGTGTACATTGAAAATCTGAGTTCAACTGAAAGGGCCCTATCGCCGCCTTCTTTTACCTGGTATGTGAGGTTATTCACTTCCCTTCTACTTGTCTTGTCAGGCCCATTCCATTCTTGCCGTAACTGAATATGAAGTTATTTTCGGCAGACCTGGCTCCCCCGACTTGTTCGGGTGATTTGCGAAATGGTGAGACATTTTGGTCTCTCCCGGGCCCAGTAATGGTTTGGAAAGGGTGAAAATCATTGAAACCCAAACTTTGCCAATGGAATGGGATGTAATCTTCGCTGATCCCGGCAAAATATGGATCACTCTTTTGCTACCACCAGGAATTCGTAAGACAAGCGCAAGCCTAAGGGCTTCATTCTTGAATGGGGTGTCTTATCCAACAACTTGGTTCTCGGCTCAAGCCGGCTAGACAGTTTGCTGTTGTCACCTTCAATCAAGGAAGTCGACGGGTCTAGAACGTGATATGTGAATCAAGTCGGTTGACAATCTATATTCTGAATGCTCTAGGGATTGGCGTCAGAGTACCACCAAGTCTCTTAAGCTAATCTGACTCAAGCTTGAACGAATCTTCCGGGAAGTGCAAAACCAATACCTGGCCACCATGACAGCCGAGAGCGATGGTGGACTGCTCTACCGCGACAGATGAAGGCCGAAATTCCGCTGGTAACCACAGAATCTTTTTCCCATCCCTCAAGATCCACGACTTATCAACCGATACCACGAACCCATCTGGTGCCGAAAACTCCGGCTTTCCCTCCAGCAAGGTTCCCAGAATAGATGTGAGGTCAATTTTGTTCCGGGGTTCTCGAGTGGACCATCTCTCGTTCTGTGCCAGAGACTTTATTGGAAAAGCGGCCTGGTTTGTTCGGAACGCCGGGTGCTGACGTGTGCGGAATTCGTAGACAGGTACACTGCCGTCCCCCATGGAGAATGCTTCTGGGATGGGTATGGGATCACCAGAAGCTACGTCCCACAATTTGACGCGGCCGTTCTGTTCCAGAGAGGCCAGCCTTTGACCATCGTTTGAGAGGACAAGCAAGACTGGTTCTTCCTCACATGGAATGGTGACGCAGGAACTGGTCTCCAAATCCCACAATCGGATCAGGCCATCGCTCGAGGCCGTGAAAAGACTCCCGTCTGGGTGGAAGACAACAGCGTTAACCTCCCTTTTCTCATGGGTCAAAGTATGGCAGCACAGCCCTTTCTCCACGTCCCAGACCTTGGCTTCAAAGTCCTCCGATGCCGTCGCGAGCTGCTTGCCGTTCTCTGAAAACGCAATCGAGCAAATTGGCTTGACGTGGCCCTGAATCGTCGTCACCAGAACACCATCGTGAGCATCCCATACCATAATCTTTCCATCCACACCTCCAGATGCAGCATATCTACCGTCCTTTGAGACAGCAGTAGCGTTGACCTGGCCCAGATGTACCTCACTGGATGAGGTATAATCGCTATCTTGTAAATGACCCAGCCCTTGGGTGGCTAACTGGGTCATGTCCCAGATCTTGATGGTGCCGTCCCTGGATCCAGATGCCAGGAGATGGGATTTCGGCGACGAGGACAATGATTCAACGTATGAGCTGTGAGCATGGAGGGTATCCACGCAGACTCCGGTCTTGACATCCCATATCATCAATGTCCCATCCGCTGCTCCCAACATCATGCGTTTCCCCTTGTCGAGCGGAATTGCCTGAGTTATCCTGTTATTCTCAGCTTGGAACGTCTGAAGACACTTTTGTCTGTCGACATCCCACAGTTTGATTGTTTGGTCATACGATGCTGATATCAGTCTACTATCATCCCCTGCAAACACCAGCCAGTCAAGATTTCTCTTATGCCCTTCCAAGGTGCGAACGCATTTCTTCTTTTGTAGGTCCCATATCTTGATGAATACAGTTGATGTGAACAGGTCGATTGATGATATGGCCAGCCTATTGTTGCATATATCAAGAGGAGAGCCGGCTGTGCGTTTCGTGACCCTGAGATTGATTGTGTCCAAGAGTTCGGCGGTATCGGGTTTCCAGATGGTGATAACATCCGAAGAACCAATTACTACTGTCTTTGAATTATTGGTTCCAATGACTTCTGGATACTCAATATCGGGAACATCCAAAGTTTGGATCTCCGCTCCCGTGGTTAGGTCCAAGACGTGGATTTTGCCCTCCACTGCACGGCTAAAAGCCCTCGGCTTACCATCACAGAGTAAGACCGAAGACCAATGCTTCTCATTGCTAATGGTATCGAGGCAGTCACCTGTTGTGGTGTCCCACGTTCTAACCTTTCCAGTTGAAGATACGGAGAAGAGTAGTTTGCCATCTGCAGAAAAGACGGTGGATATCACCTGCTCCCCACTATGCTCGAGAGTAAAAGTAGACGCATTCCACTTTTCCTCCAGGGGAATATCATTGAAAGTCCATTGAGGAGGACGCTTTCTCCTAAAAAGATTTCTGATTTGGCTTTCTGAAGGGCTGAATATGAGTGGTGCGGCGTAAACTTGGAGAGGAGCGGCCTCGATAGCGTGTCTGTATGTGACAATGAATCGATGGGCGTCTCGAACCAGCTCTGCCAACTCGTTTGTATCGTCCTTCTCCTATGGTTATAATTAGCATGTCTAATTCGGTAGATGATGATGAATGGAATGGCAGTACGTACCACGAAAGCTTTCAGATTCTGAAATGCAGTCACTGAGTCGGACACACAACCAATGAGACTCAGGGCTTCTAGCCAATGCAAGAGATGCTCCTCAAGAAACTCGATGAGAACACTGACAGCTTGTTCTGAGCTTTGCTGAGATTGATACTCTATGAAATGTTCATCCCAGAATAGCAAACAATACTTGATAGGAGCGAGGGGATCTGGATGGGGAGGTGAAGCCTGCTCATTCGGCAAGCCTAGATCTTCGAGGTCGTAAATATTCTGTCTGAGAATACTCGAAAGGACCGAAATTGATGTTTCAAAGATGATACGATGTTGGGAAACTATCTGAGATGGGAAGATTTCATCGGTGGCGTTCTCGATCAAGAAATCTTTGGCACTCTGGTGAACGAGAGAAATTACATCGCCTCGGACAGACAGGAAGGAACCACAAGATTCGACGAGATGAACCACGTCATCTTGTGTCATGCTCCCAAGATCTTCAATGAGAGTTTGAAGCTCACTGATAGAGAGGTAGCGGTAAACGGTGCATATCGTACCAAGAATCTGATAACATGTCTTTGCCCGTCGGAGGGCAGATATTCCCTCCATCATCCGCTTGTACAAAGGGTTGAGCTCGGCAGGGAACTCTCTTGCAATGCCGACAGCGTCGTAATTCGCCACACCACTCTTGGTTAGTTCAGTGCAGACCAATCCCACCCAGAGAAAGGTCCCCTTAGCGTTGTTGATGAGATGAGGCCTGATAACATCGATATTCTTTTGCGATATCGTCCTCTTCAGCTGTTGAATCTTGTGCTCAATATAAAATTCGATGGCCTGCGACAGATCGCTATCGTGATCCCTGAGGTCCAGCGTAGTCTTGTCGACTGATGCGAATTTGCCCTCGATATCTTTCCAGGGTCGACTTGAGACAATCCATGTAGCCTTGGTGGCCGACGACAAGGTTACGATGATATCCAAAAGCTCGTCCCTATTTGTCCTACACTCATCCAAGGCGTCGATAGCCAGTATTGCCCCCTCTGCGCTCTCATCTTGCAGCATGCTGGTGAGGATTTTTGCCAGAGTAACCGAGGCGTTTTTCTCAGAGAAGGCTACAGCTCCTGAGGTGTCGTACGTTTTGCGAGCGTGTTTGATGAGGGAAGGTCGTTGAGAGGCAAGCATCCAGATCAAGCCTCTCAAGACCGCCGTGGCATTATTCTGATTTGCCTCGGGTTCTTGACAAAAGAAGTAGGTCAGGCAAGGGTCGGCATGATCAACATCATTCTTGAGGTGATCAATGAGCCCACACATCATCATGGTCTTTCCTTTACCCGGCTCGCCTTTGATCCAAAACAATTTCTGTTGGTCATTTTGGCGAAAGTCAGAAAACGGTTTCAGAATCCAGGCATACGAACCCTCCAACAACCCTCCCTTCTTCTTCTCAATCGAATCCTTCTCCACTTGAGGGTCCAGGACTCGCAGGTCTTGAAGACACTTTAGATCTTTCTCGTCCCGATAACGCTGCTCCGCCCGCTCCGTCTGATCCTGAATTGCTTTGTTAATGTCCTGGAGCTCCAACACCTGAGCTTTTGAAATTTCCAGCAGACCACTGAGCTGAGACTTTATGTGCTCGGTATTGTACGTCTTGGAATCCGTAATAACCGCCGTTTCGGCGTCCTTAATTGAGGTGACCTTGCCGGCCCAGTCATCGAGCTTGAACAGGTCCCGCAAAATGACCTTTGCCCAATGGAGATGGTAGATGTATATACTCTTCATTTGATAAGAGAGCAACGACTGGTACAGCTTGACGATGTGCTCCTGAAGCTGGGCTCTAAGGGCCTTCGTAGCCGTTTCCTTGTTCCGGTTTTCGTCCAGAAGCAGATCTGCCAACTTCCAATACCATTCCATCCGCGCCAAGACCCAAGAGAGTCCCGAGCGGTTCAACCCAGGCTGTGTAATTGGGTTTGCAATGATCTACAGCAAGATTTAAGAATGGTTTCCAAGAAAGAGAGCGGGGAAGAAAGCAAACTGACCTCAAGCCCAAAACTGACGCCGGCCCAAGCAACAGACGCTTCAGGCGATGCTTTAACCGCCGTATCAATCAAACCCTTGACGTTCGCAATAGCATCGGCCCCTTCACTGATCTTGCCCTTGAAATTTGCAAACTTTTCGGAGGACTTCAGCCCAACATCAATCGCCTTCTTCATCTGGTCTTTCCTCGTCTCTGGAGTCTCCCCAATTGTGTTGCCGCCTGTCCAGGCTTCGCCCGACTCGATGTTCTTGTTGCTCAGCCTGGCAGACAGAATGGTCTCGTAGGCCTGGACGAGATCTTTGTCTGATTTCTTCAAGTTCTCGTAGGCTGCACCCCACAAATTTTCGGGCGTGGTCTTCGTCTCTCCCTTTGGCTCGTCCGGTTCGTGTGCCTCTGTGGAAGGAACAAGCTCAACTGCTGGCGCGGCATCTTTCTTGGTCGTAGGTTCTTTGCTATCCAGGGACTCATTGCCAGACGCAGTGGGTTCTCCCAATTTTGGAGCAGCCTGGGGCGGTGTCGTCTTTGGTTGCACCGTCAAGGTCTTTGCCGCAGCTGCCTTGGGGTCAGCCGGATGTGATTCTGGCTTTCCCGAAACTGCGTCGTGGACCTTCTTTTTGAGGTCTGACCAACCCATTTTGCATTCCTCGTCAATGTAGGGAGAGTGATGATGATGGGAGAAGGTTGTGGCAGGTGCAGAGGCATATCCCAACCTGCCCGCTCCATGCATATCTCTGGGATTATGGAGCTAGCTCTGTTACACGTCTTACCCCTCTCTGCTTACTCCAATCAGCTTCCTAGTTGAGCACCAAGCTGCATGAAAAGTGTTCAGCTTTGAGCCACCGGAATTTTGGCGTGCTTGTGCCCAATCCCATCGTCAGGTTTGTGCAAGTTGTTGGTGGGATCCCAGCAATCAGATCCAGTTGTCTCCAGCCGCGTCAGCTTACTGCACAAGCGCAAAATGCATGGTAAGATCTGAAAAAGACAGTTTCCTCCAGGTGGTCTAGGATGATTCGAAATTATCATTGTATCATTATCACCGCCTCGGTTTCAAGTTTCCCCCACAATTCCAAGTGCGCTCAACGGCCGCCTTCAACAGCTGGAAATTCGTGCTCACTGCGTGTCATCAAATGATTCGATTTTAGCCACTTGATGAACCCAGCTAGTAGCATTAATTTCTGATCAGTACGGGGAAATGAGTACTCTTGATTATGCATATATGCAAAAATTGCCCCGAAAGAGGAGCCATCAGACCCAACAAGTGGAACAATATCCAAGCAACATCCCCGAATAACATGATTGGGTATTTCACTTCATCCAATCTCATTTCCTGTTTTCAGTGTTGGAAACAATAGATAAACTCTCAATTTCGACGTTGAATCTTTTATTTAGCCTGGCTCTAGCCCGTGCATCGAGTACGTAGCCACCTGGCTAACTTCTGCCCTCTCTCAGTGCCGCAGAGTCTATCCGTGATGGCATAGTCCTAATATTGCTATTCATTGAAAGATGTCCAGTTTTTAACTTCTATCTATTGAACACCCTCGATCATGACCTTAAAAACATCCTGCCGACCCTGCCTAACCAACTCGAATGCCTCTTCAGCTTGTTCGAATTTGTACCGGTTTGTGATCAATCTCTTGACATCAATCTTTCCACTCGATATCAAGTCAATAGCAGCTGGGTAACATCCATTGAGGTATCTGATGGAACCTTTGATCACCAAGGCCTGAGTGCAAACGTACGTGATGGGGAAGAGTACGTTTTCTTTCCCCATCCCGGCCTGTGTGAATGTACCGCCGGGTTTTGTGGCGAAGATGCCCATCTGGATGCACGCCTCAGCACCAGAGCATTCCAAGACAACATCAGCCCCGTCACCGAGATTGAATTTCTCTTTGATCAAGCCGGCGACCTTTTCCGCGTGCACGATGGGCTCAACACCAGGTACAGGGCGGGGAGGCATGAATGTTTCATCGGCGCCGTAGTGCGCTGCCAGATCCAAACGTGACTGCACAATATCGACGCCTATGACCCTCCTGGCACCAGACTGCTTCGCGACAGCTTGAGTGAGAATTCCGATGGGACCACACCCCATAACAATGACTGTTTGGTGAGCTCGAACATCAGCTGTCTTGTTGATCGCGCAAGCAACGGCGACAGGCTCAACCATGGCGGATTCCTCCATGTTCATGGAATCAGGGACCTTGTAGCAAAAGTCCGAGGCGTTGACATAGTATTTCGCCAGTGTGCCGTCCCAAGGTGGCGTGGCAGCAAAAATCATCTCTCCGCAGTTATGGTAGCGGCCCCCTTTGCAGTGGCTGCATCGCCGACAAGGCACACCGGGTTCCATCGCGACTCGGTCACCAACCTTGAGGTGCTTGACGAGAGAGCCTACTTCAGCAACTACGCCAGAGGACTCATGTCCAAGCACCATGGGGCCTGTGAGTACGTAGTTGCCAATGCGCCCCCGTTGCCAGCTGTGATGATATGTTAGGACACATATTATCGTGAGTTACGACGAAGGGGCTGTCTTACTAATGGACCTAAATAGCATTAGCTAATAACTCAAGGACTTTCGATTTGAAGGGGGTGAAAGACTCACATCGCTACCACAGATGCCTGTCTGGGAGACATGCACGATAACATCATGCTGGTCCCTCAGCTTGGGTTTCGGCCTATCCTCGAAAGCTACATCTTTGACCGCCCGAAGAACAAATGATAGATTTTCCTGTAAAAAGATTGATGAGGCCTACTCCCACATATCCATTGGGAACTTATACTTACAGCCATTGTAGTGATTTGTTGCTAAAAGCGGCGGAGCGTTGGTGGGCGACATGTCTCAAAGAAGCAGCCCCCTTTACCATCCAGCCTTATTATAGACTTGTATCATCGATTTCAAAGTTCATGCGCGTTTAACAACCCGTTTACGGAGGCCGCCCCCATAATGATAGCGAAGACGGTAGCGAAGAATGCGGGGGGAATGTGTCCTGATCGGGGAATTTTGGCGTACTTCGAGAAGCAGAGTCGTTGATACCTCATGGATAAATTTTCCGAGCCGCCAATGTTTTGGGAGAGTGCGGGGGAGTGGGGGAACAGGTTCTGGGGCTCAGTTGCTCCTCATGCCATCTGATCATAATGTGGGAAGCGAGGATACCAATATCCAACCCCTCGCGCGAATTTCCTTTTATAGTTCGCCCAGTCGCAGTACTGTAATGACGTCGAATTGTAAATCCTAAACATGTTTTCTCCACAAGAAGTCTAAATTATGATATTATTCTTATTATTAAGGGGGAACTATGGAATAGGCATCGAAACTATGACTTATTCCCAACCCCTACCACACAGAAAGACAAGTCGTCGCTGTGTTCCGTTGTTAAGATTTGACACGCCTTATATCCGGTTGCGTCGATTCCATTCAATTCTTATGGTGCATGTTATTTTAGCGGATTCCCATTCACACCGGATTCCGAAGGAACAGCGAGTCTAACCAGGAGAAGGAAATTTTGCGACCAAGTTCTCCACCCAGGAGGCTTAATAAGAAAAGACCATGACGACTGTGATGGCTGAGGTGCTCCCCCCCCCAGCAGACTCCGATTTGCGGGGGATGACCGCATTGCTCTGCCTCGTCATCAACGAGACTCGCTACGTTGGGGAAATTACCCGCACCATCAAGCTGCATATTTGGTCCTTTGAGATATGCGGCATTCGAATACGGGTGGACAAAAAAGAGAGGGGAGAAAGACTCCAGGACGAGGCCGAGCTGCAAAACGTTCAAGGAAAGGATGGTGAACACTGACAAATGAGTTCCTGCACTGTCGATCCCTTGCTAACAGAGGCAGTAGCCCTGAATGTCGCAGGCGCAAAGTAAAGTGTGATGAGAAACAGCCTCGATGTGGCCAGTGCGAAAGGAGAAATGGGAATTGCCACTTGAAGGATTCCATCTTCAAACAGCATGTCTTCTCCCCAGTTGAAGTCTCTCACATTGATGCAGCTCAATCACCGAGTGGCGAGTTGAACACTCAGTCGGACGTTCCAGCATTTGATCTTCCAACGAACCCAGAGCAACAAAGTATAGCCACTGAAATTTGTCTCCAGGCATAGGTTGCATCGCTGATATGTTGCACAGGCAATATTGTCGCATCGAGTGAGCTTCCACTGCTTTCGCCTAACAACACCTCCAATACACCCCACCCACACACACTTCCAACACCCAGTGCATTGCCAAGCAGCCTCTTCTCTACAGTTCCTATTACTTTTCTCCGTCACTCCGATGATTTGCTCTTTGATGAACATCAATATGGAAACATATCAACTCCAGGCCCCAGTGAAGCACCACGCTCAGAACAAGGCCCCTGGCACCGACATGGTAAGTCCCCATCCTACTGGTCTCCCGAGTCTTCACTAATATCTGCAGCTTCCGACACGTTTCCAAACCCACAAACCATCACAGATGATAATTCTCAAGAGCCTACAGTTGAGTCATTGAAGGATACCCAACAAGAGCTCTTTCTCCTTCGACATTATTCAGAATGCATAGCACCATGGTAATCTCGATAGTTTACTTATCTCATGATTAAGAAATGTATTAATATTCCCATAGGATGGACTTGCTTTACCGATATGAGGTGTTCAGCCGTGAAGTGTTAACCTTGGCTCGCGAGCATTCAATACTTCGATATGCCGCTTGTGCAGTAGCCGCAAAACAGCTGGGTCAGATGAATCATCCGATCCCAGCTCTTTGCGGCAAAATCCAACAAAACATAGCAACTCGGTGTTTCCGCGGAAGGTCTGGATTTATTTGGTACGGCATCAAATATTATGAAAAGGCCATTCGGACACTTGTCAAATCCATCACCCCCAAGGATCAACAAGCGCCTCACCTCGCTCAAACTCAGGCCAGTGATGATCATGCTTCCCCCGCTGTTTCTCTATCGCAGGGAGATTTAATGGTACGCGCCGAAGGCGAGGACCCAATCGTCAGACTTCTAGGTACCTGTATTCTTATTCAGTACGAAGCCTTGAGTGCCAACCGAGACGCCTGGTCTGGACATTTAACTGGTTTCTCCAAGCTTCTTGATTTGATAGACGCTGGGCAGTTACTTATCCACCATCCCATTTTTGAACAAGTTTACCCGTGGACAAAAAGCATTATGGAGGTCAAGGCTGGCTTTTGGAACTTCGTCGCCAACGACTTAGAACAGTCTTGTAAGCTATGACCATGGGAACAAGTGTTTTTATCCTGTGAAGCTTTTGCTAACTTCAATCTCAGTCGTTGCTCATCGTCAAACTCGTGTAGATACCGAGAACCTTGCACTATGGAGAAATATGGGACTTCTTATTGAAGATGATGGGTCACTCAGCCTATTCGATGGCCAATACAGCCTATCAACAACACCCGAGCATGCAAGGGATAAGGTCCTCTCATACACCTTGATTCGATTATTGTGCAAGTTGATTGATTATGTGGCGCCTATCCCACCGATGGGTCAGCTTCCAACGCAAGGCTCTCCCAGCAGTCTTGATCCTACCAGAGACAGATTCGTACATCTCGAGAGCCAGTTTGACAATTGGTACCGAATCCTCTCTCCATCTTTCCATCCAGATGGAAAGTTCTCTGCCATGGGAGAGGATCTAAAAGAGATCGGAGGTTCCGGGCTCTTCAACAGCGCTCTCTGGTTCAGCAATGATCTCTGCTCGACAACAATGATGTATTACCACATGGCTCGAATGTTGCTCATCACCCATCGCCCAGTAGGGCTATTGTCGAGGGGTCATGACCCAGATAATACGTTACCGGTTGATCTATTATCTACCTTCAGGGAGATGGAGAAAGGACTCAAAGTCCACGCTTCAGAAGTGATCGCAATCGTTCGCGGAACTCCCTGCGATGCTGTCAAACTGAGATCTATCCAGCCGCTATATTTAGCTGGCCGAAGTTGCACAACAATGAGTGATCGGAGAACACTAGTAGACATGTTCAGGGATATCCAGAATGGGTTGGGTATTGCAACTGGATATAGGGTCGAGGCTTTACTACAAGAATGGGGAACATCATACGAGGAACTAGACACACAACCATGGCCGGCTTCCGAGGATCATCATGCGCCACAACAATAGTCTATGATCTACAAAGTGGATGGATTATTCAGTTGGCAAAGCCCTATTAGGAGGGGTAATAATTGAACGTGCTTCGCGCCATTAGCCAAAATACATAATTAAACAGCAGATATACGCCAGTAACACAGCAGGTATTAAGAGTAATCGGCTCAGTCGGACCAGCTCCATAAATCAGAAACGGGATCTCCAATCTCTACGCTCGACATAGTGACCACCACCCACACAACTGAAAGGGGCTTAAGCAGGGCGCCCTGGCCATAAAACAGTCGATACTCCGATCTCTTCGGAAATGAGCATCGGACCTTGAGCGCACATCGGGTTTAGATTCAAAGTAAAGGAAAGGAATTTGAGCTCAGAACAAGCCCTCACCAAGTCATCTATTCGGAAATTCCACGATTTGAGTTACTGATGGTGAGACAAGCAACAAGATGAACTTCAGGTGAGGGGATATTAGTCTCATCAACACAAATCAGGTGATGGGAGGCCAAGGCCGATTCACGGAGAGATGCATAACTTCCCTGTATGGGTGGATACTACGGAATATGGAGTCCGAGACCACTGAAAGGCCCAATCATATATCGTACACGCTGTGATTTTAGATGAATATGTTCTGTTGAAATCATGAATTGTACAAAGTGATATGCTAAAAGGGGTGGGAAAAAGAGGAAAAGGGGGTAAAAAAACTTGAATTAGCAATATTTTCCAAGTCATCGTTTGAGAGACTATAGCCTATGATTGTGAAGCTCGTTCAGGGAGACTAAGCATGAAGACTTATTTCTCAGTGTCGTACAGGAAAGAATATATGAGAATGGAATAGTGAAACAATGTCGTGGCTTGAATAGATCATGTGGAACAAAATAATTTCAAACGTGAGATTTGATGACTCAGGCCGATCAATGTCTGAGTGGACCTCCCTTGACGGAAACCTACACAGCAGCAGATTTCACATGAGCCTGAAACCATGCCACATTCTGAGTGGTTTACCAATTCCACTTGATCGACTCCGCATCACCATCTCGAATTTTGCGACATGAGACTCCAAAACACCTGGCAACAGAAGAGGAAGGCTTTTACGTCACTCAGCCAAACAATCGCCTGACCAACATACATGGTATTACCATGCGTCGCATAATTTTCCGGGCTTAGTTAGTATCTTCATCAAACCCCAACATGTGGAGAACTCTTGAGGATCCACGCACTTCTCCCTGACCTGTTTGCCGCTCCATTCTTTTCCCCATGGGGAGGAGCCGCTATCCGATATTTGGAGGGAGCCATCTGAAGGAAGGATAAATAGGCTGCGGTTGAAGCTAAACAAATTTCGGTTTTGTTTTGAAGAAAGCTTGACAGAGAATTCTAACTCAAGCGTCACTCTACTATCACCTCTAGTTGCATCATACAACGTCTTTCACAATGGCCAAACCATCGGAGCGGCAGCCGTACCTAGGTCTGACTGGGAAACGGTTACTGTTTTGGATCACCTTTGCCTGCAGTGTGGACATGCTCATGTTCGGGTACGATCAGGCCGTCTTCAGCGGAGTCATTGTGACTGATAACTTTCTCGAGCTTCATGATCTGGTAGGACCTGCAAGGACCACAGTTCTCTCGACCCTCACTGCTATCTATGATATCGGTTGCTTCCTCGGTGCCATCGTTGCATTTACTGTAGGAGAGCGGTTGGGACGGAAGAAGTCTATCATTTCAGGTACAGCCATCATGGCCATTGGCGCCATTATCAAAACTTCCTCCTTCTCCCTTGAGCAAATGTTTGTCGGTCGCATCATCCTCGGGTCGGTATTCTCATTAGTTTTACTTTTTATTAACCCCAGCTAATTTGTCGAAAGCATCGGAAACGGCATCAACACAGCCACTGCCCCGATATGGCAAACGGAAACCTCTCCGCCTCACTTGCGAGGGAAACTTGTCATGTTCGAAATGATGATGAATATAGCCGGTTTTTCTCTTTGCAACTGGATCAACTACGGGCTATCATACGCCGGCGGAGCAGTTGCCTGGAGATTCCCTCTCGCGTTCCAGTTTGTGTTCATAATTGCTCTCTTCGCTACTGTTCCGTGGCTTCCAGAGTCCCCCAGATGGCTGTACCATCATGGTAAAGACAGTGAGGCTCTAGACGTTTTGGCTCGCCTCCAGGATAAGGACACCAGCGACCCCGTTGTCGTCGCTCAGCAAGAAGAAATCAAGTATGGCATTCAATACGAGAAAGACCACCAGATTCGGTGGAGAGATCTCTTCAAAAGCAAGACAACCGAGGACACAAAGCCTCTACGCCGCCTTCTCCTGGGTGCCGGCACGCAGTTCATTCAGCAGTTTGAAGGTATGTTCCCATGAATTTCCACATTCTGAACCTCTATTAACTGGAAATTAGGTATCAATATCATGTCCTACTATCTCCCAACTGTACTGATCACGGCTGTTGGTTTATCCAATGAACTGGCTCGTTTATTGACAGCCGTTAACTCCGTGACCTATCTGATTTTCTCTTGTGTTTCGATTCCTCTCGTTGAGAAATGGGGCCGCCGTGGGCTGATGCTAGTCTCAACTGCCGGACAGGGCATTGCGTTTCTTGTTATCACTGTTCTCCTCCGCTATGGAAGTCCGCCCTCCGGCAATACTAAGGCCGCCGAGGCGTCTATTTTCTTTTTCTTTTTCTACTATATTGCCTTTGGTGTTGGTATGCTTGGAATTCCCTGGCTGTATCCTACCGAGATCAACTCCATCTCTATGCGAACCAAGGGCGCTGCTGTGGCGACGGCGACCAACTGGTAAGAAATCCCACCCAACCGAGCCGTAGATCAAGGTTGCTGACAGATATCCTAGGCTTACCAATTTCGTCATCGTCGAAATCACTCCTATCGGCATCCAAAACCTTGGGTGGAAATTCTGGATTGTTTTCACTGTCTTCAATACCGCTTTCATGCCCGTCATATACTTCTTCTATCCAGAGACTGGTAAGCAACATTTTCCCCTCCTCTTAGATTCAAGTTCAATAGAGGCGCTGACATTCGTGAAGCGAACCGTACCCTCGAGGATCTGGACGAATACTACCGAAGCAACCCACCCCTCATCATTGTGGGTGATAAGGATGCTACGTCCAGCAAGCGGCCCCTCAAGTATATTGAGAGAGAAGAGTCTCATGTTCGCGATGCTGCATCTACTGCTGTTGATACAACCGCCGGGTCAAAGGATATTATTCTTGGGAGTGAGCACCATGAGTGAGCATCTACATAGTGGTGGAGGACATTCTCTTAGGAACATCTCGGGATACTCCATATCGATCGCACAAGCTTTTGAAATGGATCAATTGATTGAAATAGGAAACCTGCGCTTATCTTATAAAGCAATCAATTTCAAAAATAAAGTCAAGATAGTACACTTTGTCTATTCCTATAACCAGTGATAGTCTTTTGTCGTTCCTTAGGTCGTTCACTATTTACGCTCGCCTACTGCTAGGCTGGGTATCTCTCACAAATGGTAGATTGAATCTGTTTCCATCCCAAGGTTAAATAAACAACCAATTTATCCCGAGTCTTGCCTCTCCACCGGCTGATCTACTCTCTAGAACTATTGGTCGCGAATAAATGAAGGGTGTCTCGAGGACAATCCGGGGCCATTCAAGTCGTCGTTGCAGGGCATGCCATTACCCTACACTTACGCTTTCAGAGCTCTAGGCTCTCTAAATGAAGCGGACAAGTAAGAAGAAAGAAGCAGTATCGCCGTGTAAACCTGGCAGAGTTAAGCATTAGACTGGCTTGGCTAGCTTAAAGGCCACTCCATATCAAACTACATTAATGGATGGAGAAGTCTAACACTCCAACTCCACACTCTCGGGTAATCTTCCAATCTGGACCTAATCACAAAGCCTCCGATGGATCATGTCGCAAGAAATGACAAATTGAGGTGGCAGCACAAGCCGTTCCGAGCGTCATTGCGTTTATTTTATCTCTCTAGAACAGAAATGTATTCCAAATCCATTGCCAAATCAGAATGACTAATTTCAAGAGGCACCTAGAACACCGCTGACCTCGAAACTTGGTCTTGAAATACGATGCTCATTCCAGCAATCCCAACTTTGGCCCTCTAAGCACCAAAGTCCCTCTACATTGAACCTAAATCCAAGATGCCTTTATTTCAGCCTGCCGACGTCAACGCACACGTGCTTTCTCAATTCTCACTTAAAGGCAAGATTGCAGCCGTGACTGGAGGTGCAAAGGGTATCGGTCTGGAAGTCGTGCGCGGCTTGGCCGAGGCCGGAGCTGATGTCGCGATAATTTACGCCACCAGTAGCAACGCCGCGGAAGTTGGTGACAAGATCGCAGCAGAGAATAATGTGAAGGTTAGGGTGTACCAAAGCGATGTACGCTCTCGGGCCGCCATTGCAGCAACGGTCGCTCAAATCGTTGCTGATTTTGGCCGACTTGATATCATGGTTGCCAACTCTGGCGTTTGTGCAGATATTCCAAATCTTGAGTACACGGAGGAGACATGGCAGGCCAACAACAGTGTCAATTTCGACGGGGTGATGTGGACAGCACAAGCCGCAGGGAAAGTGTTCAAGGAACAGGGGAGAGGGAACCTGATCATCACAGCAAGCGTCAGCGCCACTCTTGTCAATGTTCCTCAAAGACAAGCCGCATATAACTCATCCAAGGCTGCTGCTGTGCATCTAGCCAAGAGTCTGGCAGTTGAATGGGTGGACTTTGCGAGGGTCAACTGCGTCTCCCCAGGGTTCATCGAGACGGAAAGTAGGGATCCCCCGTGTTCTCACGACCGAAGCAAGGGTATGGGCTAACAGAAAACCTAGTGCTTTTCGTTCAACCAAAAGAGCGTTTCGACAAATGGATGGATATGATTCCAGGAAAGCGCATGGCAAAGGCTGCCGAGCTCAAGAGTGCAAGTTCCTCCCCATGATACACAATGAGTCGTTGTAATCTACATACTAACGGACGCGAAACAGATCTACGTTTTCCTTGCCAGCGATGCGTGCTGCTATATGACAGGAGCAGACATTATCGTAGACGGCGGGTATACTTTGACTTGAGTTAGTTACAGGCAATAGCAAAATCCCTCATAAGCACCGGCTTATGCAATAACAAATAATTGCACTGTCATCCAAAACTCGCAATTTCCACTAGACCGCTTAATCGCTTCAGCGGACGTGTTTACCCCAGACGACCGGAGTGAGATCAGCTAATATTATGCAGAGTAATACACGCGTGTCGCTGCAACTGTGGAGCGTCTTCGGGGTAGATCTCACCACCGTGAATCAATCCAACCACTGCGGAGGAACTTCTGGCGTGAATGACAACATTGAGTGCAGAAAGCACAGGAGGTGCATGAATTATAGCGGAGCGCCTCGCGTCTCTTTGACTCAGCCAGCATGAACGAGGATCATGGCTTGCAGCCAGGGGGCCGCGTATAATCGGCTGCAACAGCCAATCCGTGTGGGTACGGTCATTCCATCCCAAAGTACCCAGACAGTGGGTACTCATGCGAGGCTTGAGCTGAGGACGCTGTAAGATTACGGTGCCAGTGGGCTTCTAATAATACATGGCGTTCCCGTTGGTATAAGGATGCTGGCTCCCGCTTCAACCAACGCGTTTGTCTTTTCGTTAGATCAATTCATCTCATTTTTCGTTTGCTATAGTTTCTGTTGATCAGATTCTATTTGTGTTTTTCCGCTTTTTTTCTCTTCGTTTCTCCTTTTGTGTCCCCCGAATCCTAATATTCTGAGAAGAGAGTGTTTCGCCTCCCGCATCAAAAATGAAGTCGTCCGTCCTAGCCCTCCTGCCTGCTCTCGCCGCGGCAAAGCCCGTTCCCGACGTTGGCATTTCCACGGTTAATGTCGTTGGTGGGCAGGAAGCCAGTGCTACTGACTTTCCCTTTATTGTCAGTCTCGAGAGCAAGACGGAGGGTGAAGAAGGACACTACTGCGGCGGAACGCTCTTGAATTCGCTGACTGTCCTGACTGCCGCCCACTGTCTCGCTTCCGAGGAGGCGGAAAATGTTCAAATCCGTGCTGGTCACAGGGTAAGTAGTGTCCTTGGACTTCTCCTCACGGGTCATATGTTTCTATCCCTTGATTCTGTTTTCTTGGTTCTGCTTGGATCAACAGACCCATCCCGCCCCGAGCCGGAAAAGAAGCTTACACTGCATGTAGATTCGCAACGAAGGCGGCGTCACAGTCAATGCGGCCTCCATCTGGTTACACCCCGACTACAACGCAACCTCGGCCGAGAACGACCTTGCTCTTGTGCAGCTCGAGGAACCGATCGAGAAGACCAACAACATCACCTACGCCACACTATCTCCTCCGAAGAGCGACCCCAAGGCCGGGACCCAAGTCACTGTAGCGGGATGGTAGGTGCAACAAGCTGAAAAAGAAGACCCCCAACTTCTTGACGAGACATGGAAAGAAAGGCCCGCGATGCTAACAAACATGAACAGGGGCCACACTTCGGAAGGTGGTGAATTGGCGGAGACCCTGCAGAAGGCCTCTTTCGCCGTTGTCGACCGCGCCGAGTGCAAGAAGACGCTTAACGCCAACATCACCGACGGTATGTTCTGTGCCGGAGACCTCAAGGGCGGTATCGACTCGTGCCAGGGCGACAGCGGCGGTCCTCTGCTCAACGACGAGAACGGCAACGTCGTCGGCGTCGTGTCCTTTGGTTTCGGATGCGCTCGTGAGAACTCGCCCGGCGTCTACGCTCGCGTCGGATACTACCGCGAGCTCATCAACAGCAAGATGTGGAAGCCTGCCGTGGCCAGACGGTTCTTTGCATGAGCGGACCTGGAGTCTGCCCGAGTAGCCGGTCTACTTGCGGATGTCGTAATGATAATCAAGCCCAGATTTATAGATCTTTCAGGGAATAATAGAGGTGCGGAAGGGACACATTAGCGATTTTTTTTCTCATGATTTGGTTGCGCCAGCTGGACTCTGGCCGAAATGGAAACATAGCATTACGAAATCTGACGTTTATTGAAGACACCAAGGCCCGTGATTAAATCGACCAAATGCTTATTGTGATTCTACTCAATCGTAGCTCGGGGGCTGAGCTGAAGCGTTGATCCATGGCCATTGGTACAATGAGATATGAAACGAACTGATTTAATTCACCCTCCTGACCGTCCAAGCATATGTGTTCGATGTGCATTTCATTCCTTCTGGTTTGGGGGAGGAATAAGCATAATTCATCGGCCCATTCCGACTGCCGTGCTGAGGCGGATGTACACGTAGCTGATCCGTCCATGACCGGTCGACCCAGTTTCCGTGCATAGAGGCCTCCAGCGCCCCAAACCTGTAGTGAATAATTATCTCTTGCTGACCTTTCTTTGGGAGCCTTTCTTCAATAACTGCATTCGGAATTGATTTCCGGTAGTTCCTTGAGGCATTCACGTGGTAGGTCAATGCGGTCTGGGGCTATCCAATATCGCACCCGAACCTCTCGAAATTAATCCATATAATCCAATGTTAGACCATCCATTTCTTGAATATTTTCTCATTGGATAATGGTGAATTATAAATCATTCTATCATTCTCTACTACACTCTCGAGTCAAGAATATATTCTAGTTTGATAAGAGCTTTATAGCAGGAGACACATCCTGCATTGAAAATCAATCAGTTGACAATATCTCAGCAAGAGCAGAGTTCTTCAGACACTGCAGCTTACAGTATAGACTTCCATGTAGCTTATCAAAGGCTGTGAGGTGGAGGCAGAAGCAACATCGAGCTTGAGATGGGTGGCGAATGGAGAGTCAAGACTCTTCCCGTTGCGAAAGCTCATGAAAAGAGTGCCGATGAGCACTATTTCTGGTGATTCGCCCTGGCCAAAGAATGCCCGAGATATGGTGTGCTTCCGCGACTCAACGACCTTCCAGGCATTTTCACGACTGGCTGCGATATCTAGAACTTCCTTTGTTAGCAACCAGGTACAGTCGATCCCATCCAGAACGAGGTTTACAGAACCAGCAGAACCAGTGAAGCTTCCGTTAGGTGATATGACGCAGGCGTCGCTGGAGAAGACTTTGGAGGCTAGGATCTCTCCAGCATCTGCTTGAGGTGAATCGGACAGCTCGTAGTACCTCGAGATGAGATCCTTCATGGGCTGGCGGAAGGCATCTGATGTCCAGAGAGTAGATTCTGTAGCGTAGCCCATTATGTATATCTCCAAGTCTATTTATGTTCTTGTTAGGGATGCTTCATAAAGGCAACCCCAAGTGTATCTAGGTGATGCATGGGACCATTTATACTAGAGTACATGTTCTTGCCAAGATAGCTAGGGAAACAGTCTTTACTAATCCATTGTTATGTAGGCTACAATTGAGGTGTTCAGTGGCCGCTTCAACAGTTCTTTCGGATATATCAATTGGCCGAACACTTGTCTCCGAGGCCGTGCAAATAGTCCACTGAAGGACATACAGCAGAGCCGTGAGCAGTACTTTCGGCGTTTGAACTCCCCGGGCAGACTTGTCCAAGATCCACTAAAAGCGCAAAGCGTATTATTAAACAGTATCAATTCGGGCTTCGGACCACCCGAACGCACCGATCTTACGAGCGCTCTCTCATTTCCCAGAGAACCAGTAGCTAGGTCGCAAGCTGTTGACAGAAGGGGCTTTTCTTTCGTAGCTTTTCTCCGTACTTGATGAAGGCAAATGGGATAATGGCTAATATGAGCGTGATGAAACCCAGCAGTGAACATGCCCACTGAATCCCCAAGTTGCCGTACATTTGGGGAGCCGCTAGAGGAAGGCAAACGGCCGTGATAGACCGCAAAGTGCTCATCGCTGCCTGAGCAGAAGCCGAAAACTCCCTGTAGGCATCAGTCACATAGTTTAGGAGCGACATGAAAATGATGATGTATCCAGCACCAAACAGGAATCCCGACATAGCAGGGACCGCAGGATGGATCCATGGGAAGGAGGTCCATCCCAGCCAGAATAGGGAAATAATGATTCTACCGAGGTCAGCCTTCGCCGGGTCATCTGATATGGTAACAACGAAGGAACTCACAATGGGCCACCGAAGCAGGCAAGGGGAAGGCGGCGGTATTCAATTTTCATGGCCCAATCAGCTCCTGATAACATCAATCTGCGATGGTAAGACGTGTACCAGAGGGAGATGAACAAGGCGGCAAGTGAACCGCCAGACACTATCAATTGTGAGATTACGGGAAACGAGAAGAGAGGCGATTGCCGTGCTTACCTGGTAAGAATGTCAAGCCAACCTCTCCTGCGGAAAGGCCATAGACGCCTACCGGAATCTTAGCTTCTTGGGCGTAAATTTTCGGGGTAGGAGTACTACAAACCTTGGTAAATGATAAAATAGGACTGAAAAAATAGATAGAGAGTAGCATAGATTAACGCCAAGTATAGCGCGGTGAAAAGCACAACCGGCTCCTTGACGATCATGATAAACGGCCTGGAGAAGACAACTTTGAGTTCTTCCCGCAGACTGGGCTGCTGTTTCCCATACGGATCATTGATGACAGCCAGTTCAATGTTATTGCGCTTCATGTGCTGTCGTCTGATGAAGTGAATGTAGGTTTCAGGTAACCAAAGGATCAGCGGCAAAAATACACCGGAAATGCCCAGTGCGATCCAAAAGCTAAGTCTCCAGGAGTATTTGGCCACAACATAGCCTGATATGATGGGCCCGAATGGCGGCATCATCGCAGTCACACATCCATAGATGGACACGGCGTTGCCCCTCTCCTCGGGAATGTCGAAAATATCCGCATAAATAGGTCCAACAACAACATTAGGAGAGGAGGCGGCAACCCCGCAGAGGAAGCGGAAGAATATCAAAGCAGAGAATGAGGGGCTTACGGCACAGCAGATGGTGAAGATCATGTACCCAACGTAGGTGCCAATGATGACGAGTCGTCGTCCGATGTGCTCACTGAGAGGACCAAAGACAAGAGGGCCGATAGCAAATCCGATCATAAACAGGGAATTGAGCAGCACGGGATACAGTGGATTGGTGATTTTGAAGTCTTTCGCAATCTCACTGGCTGCTCCCGACGGAAGAGATGAGGCCAAAGCGCTGTTCGAGATGGAGACGAGACCTGCCGCTGCCACTAGTAGTTTTTTCGTCTTCCAGAAAGGTTGTCGTCAGCACTATCTTCGTGTCTGAATGGTAGTTTAATCTCGAGAAATTGAACATACACGGGAGAATTTAACAGGAATCTTCTCATCTGGGAGAAGCACGGCGGCATCCAGCCAGACACTGTTCTCGGTTCTGGTAGCCATCATGAAACATTCGAAATGAACAACAGTCAATTCCTCCCACAACTCAACTCAAACCGTCTAAAAAAGGATGCAGTCCGTCAAGCTTTTTATACCAACCAAGGGAGGAGAGAGAAATTTTGAACCCCCGCGTCTGCCACCGGAACGAAATGGGAGGGACCATCACCGCTCTCCGGTTTTGCTCCGGATTACCCCACACTGCACGCCCTACGCCCAGAGCATCATATTTTATCTCCGGCATATGCCCTTTTAACCGTAATTATTTAGATGACTATGCATCTAGCATAGGTACTGTTAAATTCCTTTCTCTTCAGTTGATGCGAGGCACCCCACATAACGAGATACATTTATGCCAAGCTCATATCCCTGTCTGGCAGCCAAGGCCCTCAAGTCTATCATGGGTCAAGCAATTCAGTTCTTCTCAAGAAAAAATTTGTTGTGGCATTGTATTGCATTAATAATATCGAGATAATGATTCTATCTACTTGCTATCTATCATCTGGCTGGTCTTAGCTTCACCAAGGGACATATAATCCCTGGTTACTGACCCAGAACACCGCGAGAAGGTGCCAGCCAATCGTTCTGGACCGGACAGACTTCCGCCCGGCGCCTCCACATATGATTCACTTGAATCATAGCTTCATCGGCTGTGCAGTGGCCGCTGGGGAGAAAGAGGGAAGGGTAATAATGTTGATGCGCTGGGGAACAAGAAGACACGCTCAGGAAAACACGCTCAGGAAAACACGCTCAGGAAAAACAACGCTCAGGAAAACAACGCTCAGGAAAAACACGCTCAAGAAAAATATGCTCCAAAAACACGCTGGGGGAAACACGCTGGGGGGGAACACGCTGGGGGAAATGAAAAGAAGATGATGATGGGGGTAAAACAACATGTAGTGACTCAAGAAAAAGGGGGGAAATGGACGTACCTTTCACTCCCCGCACATTTCCTACCGAATGTTAGCGAAAAACCCTTGTACCAAACCTTGCCCCCATGCGTGATGCATATTCCTCCGCACCTATCGAATGTCAGCGAAAACCCTCTACCAAACCTTGCCCTGGTGTAAGGAAAAATGTATGTGTGTGTGTATGTTCCTCCGCTCCTCCCCTGGAAGCCAAAGGTTAGCCTGGCCTTCCACACAAGGGAATTCTTAGACACTTACCTTTCTTTAAATTACCCTAGCCCTTCTCTTCCTGTCGATCCCCTTCGCTTCATCATTCACGTACCCTGAGGGGTTGTAGTGAAAGCGGGTTCCTCGCTCGAATCGTAACATCATCGGCGAGGTGCGGATAGGGCTCTCTGTCTGCTTTCGCTTCGAGATCACACCATCCACAAAATTGTTCCACTCCACCACATCCTTGGCCCTCTGGGCCTCAGCCTCCTCCTCCCGAATCTCCTTCTGCAACCAGTCTTGTAGTTTTCCCAGGACCTTGCGAACCCACCCTCGGAAGCCTCGCCGATTCGGTCGGCGATGGGACTCTGTCTTCCCGGCGTCATCATCACAATGCCCCGAAAGGCATTGCTCCGACAGGGACGACTCATCGCGCATCGCCGACATGTCGAGAGGCTTGTCGAGGTCGTTGAAGAAAGGCGAGCTACCCATCGTGAGATGTGCGAAGTCGGCTTATCTTATGTTTCGAGTCAGTAATTGATACATATCACAGTTAAAGATGACTAAGTACGATATGGGAGATATATGTCACAGTTGAGGATGACGAAATATGATATGGGAAGGGAAGGGACAGAAATAGAAAAGACATAAAGGGAAATGACATAGAGGGAAGTGACATGAGGGGAAGGACATGAAAGGGAAGGACATAAAGGCAAGTGACATAAAGTGAAGTGATATAACGGGAAGTGATATAAGGGAAGGGACATAAAGGGAAAGGACATGAGGTAAGTGATATGAGGGAAAGGACATGAGGTAAGTGACATATGGTAAGTGACATGAGGGAAGGGACATGAGGTAAGTGACATAAGGTAAGTGACATGAGGGAAGGGAAAGGAAGGGAAAGGAACATGAGGGAAAGGACATGAGGGAAGGGACATGAGAGAAGGGACATGAGGGAAGTGAAAGGAACATGAAGGAAAGGACATGAGGGAAGTGAAAGGAACATGAAGGAAAGGACATGAGGGAAGGGACATGAGGGAAGGGAAAGGAAGGGAAAGGAACATGAAGGAAAGGACATGAGGTAAGTGGCATGAGGCAAGGGACATAGTAAGTCAGTGTTGGGGATGGCTTCAACTCACATTCTTGGTCGGTCGTTGAGAACTTGGTGGCGTGGGAGAATTCGAAGTACGACTGATGTCGATTGAAAGCCATGGTCAGTAAACGAGTCAAGAATGAATGTGTTCAATACTTACAAATGATGATCGAAGTGTCTTTCGGCCCGGTGTTCGTCGTCGTTCGTATGCGTTATCGGTGAAATCGTTGGTTCGTATGGGAGTGTGCGTTATCGAAACTGATGATGAAAGGAAGAAAGAAAAAAAAGGGATGGGAGGAGAGAGGAAGGGTTTAAATAGTTTTCTGGGCTCTCGACTTGGGCTGAAAGCGAGCTGGCGACTACCATTCATCCAGCTTATGCTTTCTGAACTCTTCCAAAGTGACTCATGGACAGGGCGTAAATAGTATCAAGGTTTGTGATTCATTTGCGAAGTTCCTTTGGATGGGACATAAAACGTAATTTAGGATTTGGGCATGGTCAATGCTCTCCATATTTGACAAATCATCTTCCAGGAAATCTTCTTCTCCGGAGAGTTCTATGCTTGTTGTTCATGTGAACCGACTTAACTTTGCAATCATCACAGCTGACAAGCGACTAGGTTTATTTTTTTTATTTCTGAAAAAGCCAAGTTGGTTCAACTAACCCAATACGCATTAATTGTGTTAAGATTTCAGGTCTGGCCTCTTCCATTGCTCTTGTTTACTTTCTACTCAAACTCTCTCAACTAACCCAATGCTCATGTGAGCTGACTTGACTTTGTAACCATCACAGAAGCAAGTGTCTGGGTTTATCTCTGAAAAAGCCAACACTCATGTGAACCGACTTAACTTTGTAACCATCACAGCAGCAAGTGTTTAGGTTTATCTCTGAAAAGCAAATTTGATTCAACTAACCCAATACTTCTGCATCAATTACGAAAGATCACATCTGACAAATTCTGTTTAACCAGTTCCCAATATGGTCTTCCATTTCGAAAAACCTACCTGTTGGTAGAATCCCGGACTAGGCAATGCCGACTGATTGATGTAATGGTAATCTTTGAACCAATGGCCGCACTGATCTTAATAGTAAGATGAGACGGGGAAAAAACGTATTTGTTTTTCTAGCCTTGTATCGATTCGGCGCAAGGGTTCTAAATCAGGTGCATATATAGTCCGTCTGTGGTGAGGGCTTGCAGTTGGGCGAGTTCGAGCTTGTCCAATTTATGTTTACACTACCCCATGGGGAAATTGGATTGAAATAATTTGACTTTCCCAGCGTATGGACCAATTAAAAAAACGGGATGTACGTTGCATTTTGAACTTGCCTTTAGGCTTTAATCAAACATATATGTATTTGGACCAATGATATTATCGTCCGCAATTTTCTTTTTTGTTTGGAAATCTCATTGGCCCAACACCAAGCCAATTGATACAACGGATCGCATGCAAATGCAATGTAAGAAGGAGAAAAGCCGAGGGCGAAAGCGTCTCTGTGATGCTATATTTCTATCTGGAACCACCTTCGGACCCGTTTACCTAACAATATTCACAACCTCGATGCCTTGTGTTCTGCTGATTTTTAATTGTTGCCATGTGTCTTGTACTACCAGCAGTCCGCATATCGACAAAAGCCTCATTCTCTTTTCACAGCCCCTGACCTCGCAAGATCATATCGAACCGCATTACATCACCGAAGAGAAAATTTAGAGACTCGACTAAACTCATTATTATCCTTTGGCCACAGTTTAAGAAATGACTGAAAGTTGATGAAGGAACAAACTTTGCTTAAGACCTAAAGAGCGCTTTGGCCACAGTTTAAGAAACAGCTGAAAGGTAATGAAGGAGCAAACTTTGTTTACCCAAAGAGCGTTTTGGCCACCAGAATAGACCGTATGTAGCTAGCGGTGGCTCTTGTTTTGATTCTGTTTCATTCTACGTGCTTCAGGTCAAGCATTTAAGATTGAACAGCTAGTCATGCGACGACATTCCCATCAGCATATGAGTCAGATTGTTCTCGGCCATACCGCCGTCAATAGAAACTCAGATATCTCTACAACAACCCAATTTGCCACGACTTACGGATCGCGGCTGTTGTCAAGTTTGCCCCCAGTCAATCTGTCACCCGGGCTTAATGTGGCTGTTACACTTGTCCATGTGACTTATTTTGAAGGAAGGGTATGGAAAAGCATAGATGGTTCGCTTGTAGGAGTACGCCCGACGAACCTACGATGAACCTGGAAAGTATGGATGTTTCACGAAGCAGCTCAAACTCATCCAGAACGCGTTACCTCGGTAGTATCTACGCTCACTGCTATCAAGCTATGTAATGATAGATGCGGTTGTACTACCCTAGCTAGGATGATTCAAACAACGTAGCATACCCCCAATGGTAGCGGGAACCCTTGAACGCCATAAAGACCACTGGCTTAGAAGAGAAGATTCTGTAATCTGTCGCGACACCTTCGCTAAGGGTAAGAAAGTACTCAAGCCAGGGTGTAAACACTGAAGTGGTGATCCAATATGCCAAGATCAATCGAAAGTATCATCTTTAATTGGCACTAAGGGCGGACAATGAATGTCCAAATTGATGTTGAGTGCTCTGTGGGGTCCCGACGCGAGTGGGATACCAGGAAGGCTCAAGTTGGTTGAGACCAATTCACGAGGAGGAAGATGGCTTCCAGCCATATACAATTTTTTGGTTGGATCAACGTCAAGGCTTTTTGTCTCTTTAGGCTAGGATCAGGGACGAAGGCAGCCTCTCAATATATAGTAGCTAGAGAGCCTACTTTGTACTCAGATGGGCATGGAGCCGATGGATATTGTCAAATACAGTGAGATGTAGGGTAGCGTTTAGAAGAGTACTGATCCCAATAAACCGTGTGCGTGGCGGTTCCAGTATTTTACGTCATAACATTGGTAGCTGAGCAAAACAAACGTCTCGCGTCTGCGTGTAGGTGGGGAACAAGAGAAGTGTCTTAATTACTACTCAGGCCGCTATTGGGAGCCTAGAACGCCACATTTTCAGCTGAATATTGGCCAAGGTATCAGCTAGCCGCTGTTTGAGCTCCGGAGAAAAACCGGGAGCTAGCTCGTCGTTATTCTTAGTCAAAGAAAGGGGTTGTTCCAATCTTGCACCGTTGACTGCATTCGACTCGCAGTTACGCCTGTTGGTGCTTCTACGATCTTTAGGTGCTGTTCCCCTCCTTGGAATATCCCAAAGACGATACCCATGAATAGGGTGACTGCATTAATCCAAGACACGTTTGTATATCCCACGACATCTGCATAATTTGACTCCCATCCTGCCGCGTGGTACGCGTCACGAACACAGCGCGAACTCGAACGACGCAGCATCGCAACACCCACAGCTCGGCAAGATGAAGGTCTCAATAGCCATGAGTGCTGCTCTTTTCGGCCTTGCCATGGCCTGTGGAAACCATGGGCAAACCCGCGCAGAAATAGAGGCCGAGACCAATGCAGCGTGTGAGGGCCCGAATCCACCGATATGGTGTCCCATGAAGTGTCAAAATTGCGGCGGGCATTACTGCATCGATGGGTTTAAAGCCTGGCAGTGTAATGTTAACCCAAGACAGGGTGACTTGTGCCCAGGCGGGTGCGACGATTGCCCACCACGACGCCATTATGAGGCAGCCAGAGGATGTGTTGGCGGACCGACGGGAGCCGACGGCGCAGTGCGTATAGATCTCTATCCCTTTGCTTCAATCCATGTACTAATAAACTATTTTGCTATTCTAGGCTTGCGTGAGTGTTTTCCCATTATCTCATACAATTTTCATATTTCCGGATTATGCTAACAAAGATCGTTCGCTCTACAGGCGCCATGTTGAGAACGCTCAAGCTTGCCCTCTTCGTTTGCCTTGACCAGACTCTGCTGGGAGAAAACCAAAGGATGTTTGTGCCTCAGTATGGGATGTTCGCTACGCAGATTTCTTAGGAGGGCATGATTGGATTTGAAATTATTAATGGATTAATGACTCTGAGCGGAACACAAAATTAGAGTAAAATTGAATTGATGGAGGTTTGGTTTGGCCTTTGCAGTCCGAGGCTGAAATGACGTGATGTGGAATTTACTTTCAAATGTTGTCAGTCTTGATGATACGGTTTAGGTTTTCACTGAGTTAACATCCAATCCAAGAAGGATCTAGCTCTTACCTTGTGATTCTTTCATCTACTCTACGCGCAGTCTAGTCGAGCCTGGCTACACTGTACCCTTCCACATAACTGTAAACAAAATCTTACCATACAGCTATTCCAGGATGAGAGCATCTGCCGAAGTAGGTAATAGGTCATCTCTACTCAATCTCCCTAACCGTTCGGATGGAGAAGTAATTGCGCAGACAAAATCGCTATACTCTGGTATCGGCCAAGTCGAGCTG